GTGGGGGGGTGGGGATTTCGTCTCCATTTGTTCCTATACACTCATCAAAAAAAATAAATATATCTGCCAACTTATCCTCCCCCCGCTGGTGTAATTTGATATCACTCAACAACTCCACCCGTTTCCCTACACAGTGTATAGGGGGGGAGGTGTATAGTAGAGAGAGAGAGAGAGAGAGAGAGAGAGAGAGAGAGAGAGAGAGAGAGAGAGAGAGAGAGAGAGAGAGAGAGAGAGAGACATACGTCTTCAAGTCCACGGATGTCATATCGGTGGGAGTACTCGACTTCTTTTCAGAAGTTCCTGCAAAGACGAGCAAAATCAGATAATTTCTCAATAACACACCTTTATGGAATGTAATGCTGCACTCTAACAAGAGTGAATGATTCTTTTATTAAGTGCTAAAACGCAAGGTGAATATTATTATCAAAACCAGAAAATTAAATGGAATGGGATTGGTAAGACGTGACAGCAAAATGTGGTATTGTAAACGGTTTTCACATGCAAAATATATTGAGAAGCAATTCCTACCTTCCGACGACTCTGGCTTGTATCTGGCAGTTCTATATTTCTGAAATTTAAGAACATGGTAAAGTCGAAAATAACTCTTTGCAGCAGGAAAAAAAAATACGGATGTTAAATTTTCATACCTGCAAGTGGCTTTTCACATGATAAATGGTGAGGGTTTCAACACCCATGAGGTTCAAAACACCTTTTGGTGTAGCTTCTGTTGAAATTTCATCTCACAAGAGTCAATACAACAGAGATAGTCGGAAATAAAAATTCTCATGAGATTTATATGAATTATAATATCGAAGCCTCGGAAAACTCACTTTCACTGCCACCAAGCTTATTTACAGCATCCACAAAAACTTCATGAAGTTCTGGTGTCCACCGCATTCTTGATTTAGCTGTGGGTGCGTTTGGAGAGTTTAATCCTCCGTATGCATCTCCAACTGGCATAGGATGGTGATGCAGCTGATGAATTTGTGGCTGGAATGTTGAGACATCAGGTGGTAAATCCAGCAGCTGCAAGTCATTCAGAGCCGTAATTACTAATTTGGAATAACTACTTATGTATGACAGAATATGAAAACCTAATTCCAATTCCTTAAATGAAATTGGAATTTCGGAAATTAGAATGAATAAACTTGTTCCAAATCGGAAATTTTTGGATCGAAATTGGTGGAATTCAGAGTTTCCACCATTTTAGTCACCCATAATATAAAATACATAATAATATAGATATTTAAGTGCTTTTCTAAAATATTTTCATATATTAAAATCGGATAGGAAATCGGAATCTAATATGTATACCAATTCCATTCAAGAATAAAAATCGGAAATCAGAACTTTCGGAATGAAAAATATTGGACCACAATCGAAAAATATTCGGATAAAAATCGGCGGAAATTGAAAGTCACGCTCCAATTTCCACCCTGGACTAATGAATGAGCTTATAAGTGTTGTGTAATTGATTTGCAGTCTAAAAAGGATAAAACGTTGAAATTTCAAAGGGAAAAAAAAACGAGAGGAATAGAAATTCATCAACAAACTTCACAGAACACAAGTAATTTTCAAAATAATATCGAAAAGCAACTAAACACCAATTTTAAATCCATTTACCTTTGGATCTGGATCAGGAACATCGATATCAATAAGATCATTCCAGTTCGAATTGAGTGTCTCGTCATCATCAACTGCAATCAACTGAGCCGCCCAATCGGGCCAATCAGTTTTCTCAACCCCGTTTTCAGACATCGCTAAATCTGCAGTGTTATCTCTTTGTCCATTCTCAACAGGGATACTATTAAACGGATTATCAAGAAAGTACTCAACCGAATCTGCATTCCACTGCCCATCACTGTTATCGAATCCATCGTTTGGCGACACGGATATCGAATTCATCATTTCCGAAGAGGGCAAACAAAACTGCCCGACTGGTTTGTGCATATTACAAGCCGGTTCATTTGCTAAAGTCACCCGAGGTGATTCTAACAGCTCGGGGAAATGTTCTTCCAACGGTGAATGCATCTTTCAAAAGGGTTTATTAGCTCATTTCATCTGGAGTAGAAAATATCGAAGGTGAGTTTCGAATTTTTAGAATTACAGAAACCATGCCAATTGAAGGCACAAACAGAAATCGCAAATTTTGACAGAAACCTAACCACCTTTACAATCATTTTCATTATCCCAATTTCTACCCAAATAAATCAATTCCAAATAAATCGACTCGGAAAATAATAGCTGTTTACCATTATCAGCTCAAACAATTCACAACACAAGGACGTATATTTACAAACCATATATCTACATAATTGATAAAATCAAATTCAAAAAAAAAACATCAACCCAATTAGGGTTCTACAAAATACTAAATTCGAAAATTGAAAATGAAAAAAATAAATAAATAAGGGGGAAAACACACTCGTAGGAACTAGAAATAGCAGAAATAACAAACGAATTCAAAGAAAAAAATGAGGAACGAACCTTGCGGAATTTCGAGCAGCTGGAGAATCTGATGGAATATCGAATTTGTGTGGCGGCAGAGATAAATTTAATGACGAGAATTTATATATTATATAATGGGGATGAATCAATAAATAGAAAAATATCCTGTTCGATTGCTGACTTTACGAATGAGGCGATTTGTGTTGAATAAATCAATATTTATGAGTAATTAATTATGATGATGATGATGATATGTGTATATATGTTGTATGTATTATTTGAATCTGAAATGAATGATTGTTGGGTGATTGCGTAGGGGGATATTTTTTTTTGTTGTTGTTGTTGTTGTTGTCTTATGTTGTTGTGATCTGGGCCGTTGATTTGTGTTGCGCTGGGTTTTGATCTACGGTTGATTAGTAGGGGAGGCAGTCTTGGATGATTATGGTATTAATTAATTAAATAATTAATGATGGATAAACATTGTATTGGTGTTGGTTTGTGTCGGAGAGTTGGGGGTTCCTTCGATCCTACACCCGGTGAAAAACACTGGATGGGTCTTCTGCTGCCACGTGTTCTTTTTTTTATTTTTCTAAAATCCCTAAAGGTAAACCCTAGCGGGGAATCTATTATAAAAAATAAAAAAAGGACACTTGGCAGCAGAAGACCCACCCGGTGTTTTTCACCGGGTGTAGGGTCGAACAAATCGAGAGTTGGGGCACTTGTTGTGTGGGTTCCTCGTCATATTATTCTAAATCGGATTTGGATTACGCTTTTGGAATTAAAACATTATTCCAATTTTGTTACAAAACAAGAATTTTGAAATTTTGGAAAAATAGAAAATTGGAATTTCGAAATTCGAAATGATTTTTTTGTACCAATATTAAGTTACTCAAATCGAGCACAAATCTTAAATTTTATTTTTCTTATGTACAATAACATTAATGTTATCAGTGTAATTTTGAATTATTTTAAATTTTTGAAATTTTGGGTTTATTTTTTAGAAATAAAAAAAATGGATCGAAAATCAAAATATAATATCTAATATATAATCCAAAAAAAAAACTAAAAAATCATAATTTAAAGAATTCAAAATAAAAACTATCGTTGAGAAGCTTGGAATTAAAAAATCATAATTAAATCGACACATGTTCGAATTTCATTGTCAACAGTTATTAAATCGAGTTTGTCACATATGGTTAGCCTAATATGATTTACGTCTCTCGTATAATATACAAGTTATTATACAAGAGTGTAAGTTTACTTAATGCATCTATATAGTTGGCTTGAGAGTTCCTTCATTACAGAATAAAAAAAAATTAACACCGTTGGAGATTAAAATACACTGTTCCAATTATAAAACAAAATTTTGAAAAAAAAATCAAAGACTGAAATTTCGAATATCGAAATGAAAACTTTTGTCCAAAAATATCAAGTTACTCGAATCAAAACCGCACAAATCGAAAAAAGAAAAAAAAAATGAAAATTTACAGAATTCAAAATACGAACAATCAAAATCAAAATCAAAATCATTGTTTATAACAAAATAAGACTGCCTTATATATATGTGGGAAAAGTTTAATCTAATAAATTCAAATTTATAACAAACAATTTCATCCAATAAGTTTCAATATTTAACTCTGAATTTGAACTTAATCCCCTTTATATGAAATCCTTCATCAACTTTTTTTCCATCAAATCGAGTTCTTCGATAAAATTTTATGCGTTTCGTACCTCAAATTACGATCAGACCTTTCTCTTTCCTTTCACATCTCTGCAGTATTTGCTCCCACATCGGCATTCAAATGCTTCGACCGGATGGCTCTCATCATTAAAATCAATCAAATAATCCTGCAAATATTATTTATCATACGAAAAAGATATAAAATACGGTCGAACGATATATTTTCAATTACAACAGAGAATTAAATAGTAAACTGAGTTAGAGAGTGTGACACAACAATGTTTGGCAATGAACATACAATGTAATGTGACAGACAACATGAATTTAAAAAATTTACTCACCCAAGTCAGTTCTTCTAGAGCTTCCACTTTCCTCTTAGTGAAGAAAGCAACCTGTATAAAAGTAAAATAACGATTAGTTAGGCCTCGTTTGGTTCCCATGATTAAGATTATACAATATTACGAGAATTCATTGTAAGACTTCATGTTTCCATAAATCCAGGCTGGCCCGGAACTTATTTCACTAATCTAAACAAAGAAATAAAAACAAATTATTCAATTAAATTACGTTTTTTTTTATCTTATCAACCAAACGAGACCTTACGTGATAATAATGCCGATCTGGAGTCTCCACCTGCACCGGAATATCAAGCAAATTGCCATCAAAGCACCTGTGAACAACGCAAAAACACAGCTCATGTTTTTAAATAGCTAATTTTTATTTTCTTTATATGCATTACCGATCCTTAGTTAGTCGAAGACCAATATAGTTTATCCAATGTAAAAAGTGAAAACAAAACACTACCTGTGATTGATAAATCTAGCAACATTTCCAAAATATGTTGCGTCCAAGCAGAGGGCTTCTTCGTCTTTTAACACTCCTTCTGTAGCCCAATCTGCATCGAGTAGAACTGGATACACGTGTTTGTCCCTCCCAATATTTTTCTGGTTCCGTTCATACAGTTCAATGTTGGTCAAAATCTCTCCGATGTATTCGCATACAAACGCCCCTTTTGGCAACTCCTCGAGTGCTCGTAGGCCCCACCCTTTATCATTGCCTGTCAAGAAGACCTAAAAACGCAAAATTATACTCGGCTTAGGCTAAGTAGAGAGACCTCTACAGATTTTATCCAAGAAGATAGTTATATACTTTTAAACAGACAGTACACGAATGAGTATTTATATATTGGTATTCAGGTAATTGCTGTTTCTTCGTTGTCTAAATTAAACAATGTAAATTACTTCAGATAAATACCTGCAGCTTTCTTGTTATTCCTCTCTGAACAACCCGATTTGCGCACTGCATATTGCAGCCACATTTTCTCCAGCATTCCTTAATAAACTTTCTCGAGAGGTGCCCTTTGCATTTTTCTGGCATGTGGGCACTTTTAGCCCTCTCGAAAGGGCAATCTTGGCAATAAAACTTGTAATGTTTTTCCTCTGATACTTTCATAGATATACAAGCATCTAAGAACTTTTCACATAGCAGCCCATCTTGAGTATACGCGAACTCTCCACCCGTGTCACGAGCACATGCACATGGTATAGACGAAGAAACGCAATCTCCGATGCAATCTGAGCAACAATCATCGTCTGCTATACGAGCTAGTGATATATGTAGGTACGCAGACTCGTAAATCGTGTTCTCTGGAGAGTAGATGAAACGTGGCAAATCTTCGTTACTGCTAGTTTGACCGACCAGGGAGATCTTCACTTTTTCTGTGCCGTTTGTTATGTCATTCTTTCTGTAGGACGCCTTTTCTGAAGCTGAAAGTGTAACACATTTTTGTAAGAAATGTCAATCTCAAAGAATAGCTTGCTATATATATGCAATAGATGATAGATTGGACAATGTTATCATCTCCCATGGCCAACAATAATATCAACTCCTTAAACTCCGAACTTTATTTCAGCTAGACTCTATCTTTGCGATAACAATGCATTCGAGAAGATTCTATAAATATCTTTCTATTCTGTTAGTTGAGAAGGGTAATTCATTTTCAATCGTGTATAGACGAATATATCACATAACATGGCAATTCAGTCTCTAATCTATTCTATTATTGCCCATAAAAAGAAAATCAAGAAAAACGTAGAAGTTCAAAGTTCGATGTGCTGGCATACCTTTAGGAATAGGAGAAGTAGGAATTGCGAATATCGGCGAATTCTCTTCAGGCTGTTTTTCCCACAGCACAATCGCTCTTCGATTTCCCTCATCACTGTCATCAGATTCGTCGACGAGACGAAGTGCACGTCTCTTTGGTTGAGCAGATGAATTTCCCTCGTCAGCAAATCGATTTTCTTGAACTGGTTTCTTTCGTTTGCTCCCACTCGGTGCTTCATCGGTCGCAAAACAACGAGGCTCATTTGTGGGATTTGCCGAGGCTGAAGAAGATTCCACTATTCTTGTTACACTTGACCCTTTTTGAACTCCACTCGTAGTAGAAGAAACCTGATCTTCAGGAACTCCTCCGCTAGGTGGTTTCTTGAATGAAGCGCCACTACCCTCGTTGATTCTCACTTCCTTTTTTTCAGCCGTTAACTAGCCACAAAAATATATATATATATATATATATTGAAAATTACAACTTCACCAAAGTGTATATTACTTAAAACAAAATTCCAAATCAAGAATAACAAACCTTTTCCTCTTGAACTTCAAATATGGCATCAGCAAGTGTACGGTAATTGTCATCCTCGATAAGTTCCCAGTTTCTGTTGTACAGCTTGAACAAATTCTTGAGGACTGGTCTTACAGTTTCTGGAGAAATTCCCAGCTTCCCCATTGCACTTAATGCTTTGGCAGCTCTTGGATTCATATTTGAAGCACTTCAAGATAGACTATTTTTATGCCTGAGAGACAGAAAAAGGAACAAAATAAAGAATAGGACTACAAAAAGACAGAAAACTGTGAACAGGAATACATACTAGTTGTATACAAATCCCACGAAACAAATGTACAGTAATTAATTCATGGCAATTGGAAAATGATATACGACTGAATCGAATCTAGTTTAGCAGTAAGTGGATTCTTATCAATCAAAAACGATATTTATCGGATGCAAAGGAATTCAAGATAGCATATATATACAATGCTACTGGCTTAAGTCCTTACAGAAACACACTTGACGTACGATTAAAGACAATTACAGGATTACAATAGAAAAGTTGAAGAACATATACGCAACAACGATAATCATGGATGAAGAAAGCCTTTCAAAGAAAAACACTGTATTAGAAAGTGAATACAGCACAGCACCCCTCAAAAAAGTCTTAAACATGGCAGAATAATGGATTTGTATCACCATTTATTCACAATTCCAGATAATAATTCTCTCTCAAGTCACAAAATAAAAAAAGTAGAATTCTATTCGTTTTTTTTCCTCACCAATATAGACTGTACAACACAGAGCGCACACATTAACAAAACAATGAATTTGTTCCGACTTGGAAGGCGGAAAGTGCCACATTACAAAAGAAAAAAAGCTAGAAATTAAATTTAACGCAGAATAAATACATTTCTCCCAATCTCTAGCCAAAATAAATTCCAAATCGATCTTACATAATCCAAGAAAATCTTCAAGGATATAACATCTCAACATTGGAAAAAAAATATTTAAAAACACAAAGCCACCATTTAACAACTCCAGAATACATAGAGATGGGCAAAGCAAATCCAACGAGGCAATGACAGCACAGGAAAATATAATCAACGTAAACCAAAAAAAAGAGGTCGAAAATTATGAAACTATGAAATGGATATCATTATCAACCAAATTTTTAAAAAGAAAAAAAAAATCGAGATTCTACGCCACGGCTCCTCGATTTCCTATTCCTTTACCTTGCAATCATCCAACACAACAACAATGGAAACCACTCTCTGATTTCATATTTTTCTGCTTCATACCTCCAAGGACAAACATATATACATACATAAATTAAACATTTTCTTACTGTTTAATCAGTGTGCTAAATTTCAGCTTAGCCCTAATTAAAAATAAGCATTATGCATCACACACAATGCATGATTGAACAGTGCATACTAGAATCGAAAATATAACCAAAAATCAACACAACATAACTCAAAACAAATCGATTCAAAACCATCGTGTTCCTCAAGAAATAAACAAAACAATCAGAAAAAAGGGGGAAAATAAAATAAAATAAAATAAAATAAAATAACAAAAAAACAAACACCTTCAGCGCAAAAACTCCATCAACATTGTAAAACGGCGAATAGAGAAAAGGAATCGGAGGTACAAGTTACCGTTACAATCGTCGGAAAACCGACGTCGGAAAATGGAAAAACCCTCCGCCGCCGCTATTGAAGGAGAATTGCTTTCAAAAAATATATTTTTTTGTTTGTAAACCCTCCTTCCGCCCTAGCTAGAAACAAAAGGGAAAAAAAACGGAATAGAAGTACTCTGTGTTTTTGCAGAGCAGCGAAAGCAGAAAAATACAGTAAGCGGAAATATTTTAGAGAGAGAAAGGGTGGTATCATTTGCCATATTGTAGTGAATCACTATTGGATTGGGGGCTGTTATTGTCTGTGGTCGGGTGCACGGAGGAATAAATGTGGGACGCACTTTTTTTATTGGGCCACGAGGTACGAGGATGATGACTTGGCTTCCAATGATTGGCTGAAATGTGAGAGTCAAATAATTAAATATGTACACTTGGACTTGACTTATAATTTGTACCGTAGTGCTTCTAGCTGTTTGGTTAAGACGCAATTAATTAATGACTTATAATTTGTATTTAATTCGATATTTATGTAATATGTTAGTGAAATATTAATTTATAAAAATAATGTTTTAGCATATTGTTCTTTGAGTCGGGATTGAAAAAATATTATATTTAAACGAGGTTATTAATTTATCGAAGTTGTACTGTGTATTGACAAGATAATGGTACAATATTAATACCGTATCAAATGCGTCGGTAACGAAGTTTCGGTAATTTTTCTACATTGTTTGTTATATATACTTTGGTATTCGGTAGGCGGTAATTATTTTCTAGCCCAATTGAAAGTATGAAATTATTGCAAAATCAATCAAAAAGTGATAACAAATGAGACTTGCTTTTTACGGTTTGAAACTTGCTATTTACAGTTTAAAACACTAATTGAACGACGGGCGTGCGCACCTTAATTGAACGCTCACGACGGGCGCCCAGGGCATGGGCGTTCGTACACGCCCTGGGCGTTCGTACACGCCCTGGGCGCCCGTCTTGGACGTTCTACCATGTTTTTGCGAGAAAAAAAAACAGCCCTACAAATCGATTTGTGGGGTTTTTTAACATGAAATTGGTTCCGTAATCGATCTACCCAATGCATATTACACATAAATGAGTCGAAATTACCTCAAAAAATCGAAGCCCAACCCTTCTTCAAGCTTGATTTAGAATTTTCGATTTTTTTTCTTTTTTTTTCCTATTTGCAGTTTGAGGGGTTTTGGAAAGTTTTAGGGTTTTAAAGAGATAAAGAGTTTTTTGTTATGAACCTTAAATAGCAATTTTCAAACCATAAAAAACATTTCACTCACAAATTAGGGTCAGATTGAAATACCTATTGGGCCTTCCTCAATAAGCCCAACATAAGATCCACCACGTAGCCAATGAAGACTTTTTGACTTTTTCATTCTTTGTTTTATTAATTAGGGAAAATTAGATAAAAAATTCTTATTAAAATTTTAATTAATTCAAATTAAGCTATACATTTTCCAATACATTCTTTTTATTTTATTTTTTACTTTTTAGCTAAAGTAGTTGGCAAAAGGTTTAGATGGAGTTAGGCTAGAAAACAATCTTAATTACATTCACCAAGACCTTAATTTCTCAACAGAAAGTTAATCACAAACAAGTTTAATATAGTAAGTAACAATTAATCACAACTTAATCATCATCATAATCAACTACAAAATTAAACATACATACATGGGTACATCATCAAGAAATCCTTTGATAATTCTCCATGTTTATATCCTATGTTTTGTTCTAATATTACATCATGTTAACACCATTACAACAAACAACCATAATAATCTAGTATATACTCAATGTCCAAACCACCCTTCACCAAATATCGACCCTTCTCGTTCGTCGCTAATTTCGTCGCTATTTCAAGAATTCATCAATCAGTCGACACAATCAAGATTCTTCGAAACCATCGTTGCTGATGAACAAACCGCAATCTCGGGCACGTTTCAGTGCCGTTATAATTTGAGCCCGAACGAATGCAGAAGCTGTGTTAGCAAATTCCCTATAATTATATCGAAAAATATTTGTGGAAAAAATAATAATAATTTACCATCAAGAATCCAACTTTTCGGGTGTTACGCTCATTACCAGGAGGAAAACGGGCTCGAGACAAATTCCAGGCCCAATCAACTTCTTCACCGGGCCTGTAGTAAACGTAAAATCAAGAAACATGGATTTGAAGAGATGAAATATGCAGCTTTTTCGGGTTTGGAAAATGGTGTTATGACTAGTGGGAGTGGATTTTTCGAGACGAATTACGAGTCGATCCATGTTTTGGCTCAGTGTGCAGGGAGTTTACGGGCTTGTGATTGTGGCGAATGCGTTGATAGTGCTGTGAAGATTGCGTACGAGGATGAATGTAGATACTCGATTTCTGGAGAAATTTATTTGGAAGGCTGCTTTGTTAGTTACGATTATACGAGTGATCATGGATTTGATGGCTACTCAGATGAAGGTATGTCGAAATAAAAGCACATTTCTAGTTTTGTTATTACTAACTATTGTACGAAACTGTTAATGTTTTATCTTTCTTTAAAATTTTCAGACAAAGGGATTAGAGACGGTTCGCCGAAATTGGTAGCCATTGTTGTCGGTGGGTTAGCTGTTGTATCACTCGGACTTGCACTCTGTTATTGTACGAAGTCATGTGGGAAGAAAAGGGATGGTAAGTATATTTTTTATTGGTACATATATTTGCCAAAATTTTTATATACGAAAAATGATTTTCTGTTACGAATTTATGCTACACCTAGTGAAGTGTACACCTCGTAAATATGAATCAATAACACGTATATATATGATATTTATATGTTTTGTGCAGATTGGTGAGGGAAGATGATTACCTTCTCTGTAACTGCTGGTTGCTTTCTCTATCTCTCTCTCCTCCCAGCTAATTTTCCTGTAGGATTAAATGAATAAAATCAAGACTACTTCATGTGATATTATTCTGTTATTAATTTTATAAGTCGTATTTATTCTGCGCAAATATACGATTTATTCAGTCGGAAATCTCATCTAAGTTTCCCCCGACACTTCGTAAAGGAACTAATTCAATGAAACACATTCAGCTCTAACTTGGTAGGGAAGAAAAAAAAAAAAAAAATGCAACCAAACGGATAACGATTTTATGCTAAAAAATGCGGAAAACAAAACCAAAAAAAGACACCAAGTGAATGTGGGAAATGGGAACGATTCATTTAGACGATAATAAGTCTCCTAATACGGCAGGCCAGTCTTGATAATTAGTGGCTGAGCTGCATGCCGTTATTAGGAGTTGGATATCAAAAGTCGAAAGATAAGAGATGAACGATACAAACAATGTTTTCAAAACTCGACCAAATATAGAAACAGACGACCAAACTTCTTCAATCCAAAACCAACAATCGAAAAGTTCCGGAACATTCAGCGGTTTTTCATATCTTTTTGGGCAAATTACAGCCACCCCTGAGGTAACGTCAAATTACGAAGAAAAAAACCCTTCTTTTTATAGCCATCCCCTCAACTATGTATTGTCTTACGAAAAAACCCATTAAATTGGTAAGTTTAGAGGTGTTCATTCGATAAAATCATACCAAAATTTCGGTACGCCAAATTTTCGTACCGTTTACCGTACGGTTCGGTAAATAACCGAATTATCAAAATTTTATTAAAATATTTAAAAATTTCTTTTTTTATTTTTAATTAGTTTTAGTTTAAATACTATTATTTCATATATATATATATATATATATATATATATATATATATATATATATATATATATATATATATATATATATATAAAGCTGAATATCGAACCGAATTACCGGTGCGGTAATCGGTATGTACCGAATTTTTGTTTGGATCGGTCCGGTCGGTTTACAGAACGGATGAACACCCCTATGTAAATTTAACAACGTAAGGGTGAACATGTAAGAAAATACATAGTTTAAGGAGGTGGCTGTGATTATGCAAACAAGGGTTTTTTTTTCTCGTAATTTGATCTTACTTACGGGGTGATACTTACGGGGTGATTGTAATTTGCCCTATTTTTTAGTTTGACTATGCAAAGAAGAGCATATTTATTTATTTCTTTATGATTTGGGTTTTGGATAAGTTTTGCTAAACTCTTAATCAAAACAATTGACAAAAGAATGATGTTGCATGCTGCTACTAGGCAAAAGTCAAAAGATTAGGGGTCAAGTACAGATTCCCATTCCAGTAGCGAATTTGCCGGAAAGGATGACTTATTAAAAGAATAAGGGCAAATTACGGTACCCCTGAGTTATGGTTAAATTACAAAAACACCTCTTCTATTTGGGTAATTACAACCACTCCTCAACTATATATTATCTTACGAAAAGACCTCTTTAGTGATAAATTTAGGGATGTTAATTCGGTAAAACCGAACCAAAATTTCGGTACGCCAACATTTCATACCGTTTACCGAACTAAATATACGATTTGGTTTGGTAAATAACCGAATTATATAAATTTTATGTAAAAATATTTAAAAGGAGGGAGTAGCTGTAATTACCCAAACAAGAGGGATTTTTTCGTAATTTTGCTATATCTCAGGGGAGTGACCGTAATTTGCCCAAAGAAGAAATAATTGGGCTGTTTGATTGGCTGGCAAGTTGACTTGTACTTAGAAAAATCAGTTACATGAGCTGCACCAGTTGTTATTTAAGACAAGCTACGTAAAGCAAACAAAGAAATATCCACAAGTGAGCTCGATAAACTTACATTACATAGATAGATATGGCGGCCGAGACGACAATAATGTTTGCGGTGAAGAACATAGACGATTTGCTCATCGAGCAGGCGGGTTTCCTACAAGGCGTCGAGGATCAGGTCAAGCGTCTGAAAGACGAGCTCCAACGGTTGCAGCGTTTCGTGAAAGACGCTGCACAAAAGCAAGGCCGCGACAAGAGGATCTTTAAATGGATATCCGATGTTAGAGACGCTGCACAAGATGCCGATTCCATCGCGGATGCATTCGTTCTCAAAGTTGAAGCAGCGGGAAGGAGCATCGGCGGTTCGTCAGGGAAGTTGCTCCACTTGCCGAAGCATTCGTACAAACTGATCGGAAAACAGATCGAGGCGATCAGAGACAAGCTCAGGGGCATCGAAAAAAGCCGCAAGAAGTGCGGAATTGTCGATCTTGGTGAAGGAATGGAGTACTATGTATCTTGGCGAAGCAAGTTTTCTCCTCGGCAAATGAACAAACAGTTGGTGGGCATGGATGAAAACGTGGAGTTTTTCCTCGAGCATGTGGTTCTGGATGACAGTGATGAAGGTCTTTCGATTGCGACCGTCGTTGGACCCGGCGGCGTCGGAAAGTCGACACTTGCCCGGAGAATATACGACGGCGCAGTTGCGGCGGGGCGATTTGACCGGTGTGTTTGGTTAGCGGTTTCCGGCGAGTACACACCGAAAGACGTGATCAAGGAGGTGATGCTGCAGCTGTTGCACCCGCAGCATGACAAGATGAAGGAGGCGGAGAGTTTGGAAGAACTGCCGTTGTCGGAAATCCAGGGACTGCTTCACCGGAGTTTGCGCGACGCGCGGCTTTTCTTGGTTATCGACGATGTGGGGCAAGATGCACAGTGGGAAGCTATTGCTAGTGTTTTCACCATTGAAGGTAATGTGTCTTCTCTAACTACTTAATTACAATTTGGGAAAATTATAGTTTTTACCTCACAGGTTTGCACTTATTACATATTTAGTCCTCCATGTTTACGAAAAAAAACATTTGGTCCCTCATGTTTCAATAATTTACCACTTTCGGTCATTTTCGTCAATTTACCATTTATCCGTCACTTGTTGATTCTATTAGTACTTACGGAATATTGACGGAAATGACCGAAAATATTGAATTTCTGAAACAGACTAAATGTGTGTTTTGTGAACATGGAGGAGTAAATGTGAAATCGATACAAACTTGAAGGATGAAAACTATATGTTTCCCATTATAATTTATGGAGAAATTACAGTTTTCACCCCTCAAGTTTGCACCGATGTCACATTTGGTCCCCATATTCATAAAAAACACACTTGGTCCTTAATATGTGCGCAATTACAAAAAACGACATGATATGGGACGTAGGGAGTAATCTCGATGAATTCCGTCTCATTTATGCCCCTACCTCAAATGTAGAGTTATGTTTTAAGTACAATAATGTTTACTCATTAAGAAATAGCTAATCGAAAAAACGGTAAATCTCGCATAAACCCATACAACTTTCTTATTTGCAAAACTGTCCTGTCCAAAATATTTTTGTAACTAAAATTTCATCGTGTCCATCAAAAATAAAAATACTTCTTCATATTCTAATTTACTCAAGTTTCATCCCTTGAATAATAAATTCATCAATTAACCAATTTTAATCATTGAATTTATTTAAACCAACTTTTGATTGCCATCATCGTTGACCCGGTCAACAGCATTGCTTTTTTCTTTTTTTTTTTGTGTGTGGCCAGTCAACACATTACATTAAATGTTTTTTGATGTTACAATATTGATTACTCCCTCCGTCCCAATTTAAGTGACGTTTTTGGTTGTTGCGCACATATTAAGAAAATCAATTAATGTGTATAGATTAAAGTAAAAAGCATAGAAAAATACTAATATATCCTTGACATTAATTTTTTTAGAACTAACTATTTAGGAGTGAGAAAGGGTAAAATTGAAAATAATGCAATTAATGATGCATTGAAAATCTAAAATGACAAATAATTTGGGACAAGAAAAACTACCTAAAAAGACATATAATATGGGACAGAGGGAGTAGTAAATATGAAAGGATCTTCCTTGCTAGGAAATAAATTTGAACAGTTGAATCTATTTACGAGACAAAAAAGTAAGACGTCCCTCTTTTAAATAAGTGTCCTAGTCATGAGTTTTTTTGTTAACATTTGTCATTACATAACACGACGCTATCACTTAATTCAGATGAAGGAAGTAGATTGTTGCTAACAAGTCGAAACGAGGACATTGCGAAGGATGCTGGCAGCTATGTTCACAAGATGAGTACTTTAGACCCCAATAAGAGCTGGGAATTGTTTACGAACAATATATTCATCGACAACGTCGATGGCAAGTTTCCAGAAGATTTGGAGATTATCGGAAAAGAAATCTTGAAAAAATGCGACGGTCTACCGTTAGCAATCGACTTGGTGGTGGGCCTACTAGGGGACGAGAATCCGTCCAAGAGTAAATGGGACGAGGTTTTGAACGATATAAACACTCTTTCGCATAGTAGTTCCGGAAGTAGTACTATTTTATCGACAATCTTGGAATTAAGTTATCGCGACTTGCCCCCTCAACTGAAGTCGTGCTTTCTATGCCTAGGCTTCTTTAAGGAACGCGTTCCTATTCGTGCAGAAAAGTTGGTGCAGGTGTGGATCGCGCAAGGCTTAGTGGTCCCACTTGAAGGAGGAGGAGAAAAAGAAACGAAAGAGGAGATAGGTATGTGTTATTTAAACGAGCTTATCAATCGAAACATGGTACAGGTCAAGGATCTGAGTACAGACGGTCGAGTTAAAAACTGCTGCATTCATGATCTTGTCCGCGAGCTATCCGTGACAAGGGCAAAGACGGAAATAAGCTTCGAGATCCAAAGAGAGGACGAAAAATCTCGAACATCGGATAAGAAGCCTCGTCATCTTGCTATACACGGTTACACCTCCGGGGATCAACACGAACATGTTCATTCTCTTTTCTTCCATGGAGTTATAAGCAACTTCCTCGACGATTTAAAGAGTTTCGAACTGCTTAAGATACTCGACTTTGAAGATCTTCCTATAGAGAAGATACCGGAAACAATCGGTTTATTGACTCGGTTGAGATATTTGGGATTAAGAAACACGAGGATCGAGAGTCTCCCGGAATCAATGGGGAGACTCAAGAATCTTGAGGTTCTTGATATAACAAAAGTCGACCAAGTTGAAATGGATGATGTCATATGGGAAATGGAGAGCCTGCGTCATTTATACGGCGGGGTGATTTACTCGCAGTATCTTCTGAAAACGCACACCCTGAAGAATATCCAGACACTCGGCTACATTTACGTCGAAAATTTGATACCCGCGCACCTCATGGAGATGAGCAATCTTCGTAAATTGAGCTTGTTGATTACCGTCAGTGTAGACTTCGACGGAAGAAAGTTCTACCCCTTCTTGGCAATGCTGGAGAATCTCGCGTGGCTAGAGATAAAATGGGGTCCTTTTGCTAAGGTACAATTGTCGGAGTTGAAGGGGCTGGATGTTCTGCACCGTGTCACCCGACTTAAACTGGAGGGTATTATAGCCAATTTACCCGACACGTGTGAGTTTCCTCCGAATCTTTCGTACTTGACCTTGTTAAGGACTTGTTACGATAAAGATCCGATGCCGGTGCTGGAGAAGCTGCCGAAGTTGGTGTACCTGAAAATGGACCGTGCGTATAGTAGCAGTGACGATATGGTGATATCGGAAGAAGGTTTCCCCGCGCTCGAAATCCTTTGTCTCTTTAGGATGGTGACTCTTGATAACATACTTATTCTACAAGGCGCGATGCCTAAGCTCAAAGACTTGCGGATTATCGGGTGCGGCAAAAATTTGGAGACTAACCTTTGGGGCTGAGATCGATCGCTACTGTTCTCCTGAGGTACACAAGTTGGAAAGTCTCCGCAATTTGTTATTATTTTTTTTTTTGTGTGTGTGTAATGTGTGTATGTATGTATGTATGTTTGCTATTTGCATTAGTGAATAAACCCTTAATGCATGTTTTTGGGATACTTCTCTCATTAACCTCCATGTAAGCATTAATTGGGTGTGAAAATAAATTTCTAATGACTCTGTATACAATTTTATGCTCTATGTTCATTTCCTTTCACTAGCATTCAGCAACCTTATTTTCACTGCTTTTTTTTATATATTTTCTAACACATTTAATGGGTCGAGTCGAGCGAGGAAATACTCGAGCTCTAGTTTTTCGAACAAATCGAGTTTAGCAAATAAAGAATCTATGCTAACAAATGTGGGAACCAAAAAAAGAAGGAAAAAGAAAATCAGAAAAAGTGAATGTGGGAACAATTCATTTAGTGTTGCTAGCACGGCATGCTTTTCTTGATTAGGGGTGTAAATCGGACGGATCGGATCAGATCGGGATTAGCCATTTTGGAAAATTTCTATTTTTTTCCGAAGCGAAAAACTAGTTCCAATTCCGCTCCAAAAACATCGGAAAAAATCGGAAATCAGAATTTCGATTTTTGGAACGAAAAAACTTGTTCCAAAATCGGAAAATTTCGGATCGGAATCGGCGTAATTCAGAAATTTCCAATTTTCAGTTACCTAAAATATAAAATACGTAATAATTTTGGTATTTTAACTGTAACATTAGGGAAAAAAATCGGAATTTTCGAAATTATTTTCGAAACTTCAATCGGATCGGAAATCAAAATCTAATATACTCCAATTCCAATCCAAATAATGTCGGAAAAATCGGAAGTCAAAATTTCAGAATCCTGATTGAAAAGTATTGTTCCAAAATCGAAAATTTCGGATCGGAATCGGCAGAATTCGGAAATTTTATTCCAATTTCCCCCCAGTCTTGATACAGAGAGGCACGAAGACAATTCGATATCTGAATAAAATTCAGCCAGACTTTGTTATCAGATAGTGCGAGTGCATACCGTTATTAGGAGTTTAATATCGAAAGTCAAAAGATTAAATATGAAGGTACACAACAAATGTTTTCAAAACTCGACCGGATATAGAATCGATCAACATCTGAAGACTAATACAACAAGTTTAATAACAAATTAATCAACCACAATCACTGATTTGTTCCCTTAAGATTTGGACAAGTATTATTAAACAATCAGACAAAAAGTCAAAAGATTACAAGGGGTGACCTAAGCAAGTACGGAGTCCCTTCCGTACAGGCGAATTTGCCTCGAAAACAATGCCTGATGCATATAAAAAATCGAAACTCGATATTTTTTTCCAATGGGATTGGATTGACTTTTTAATAAAAAAAGAACTAACTGGTGTGTTTGATTGGCTGGCAAGATGACTTTGTCATTTTTTATCGGTAAGAAATTAATCAAAGACCGATTCGTTTAGCTGCATCACTTGTTATTTAAGTACGGAGTCACCTCTCCCACCAATTTGTCGAAAATCAAAACAAGAAATTACATAAAAAATGGCGGAGGCGAAAATATTGTATGCAGTGAGAAAAATGGCCGATTTACTGATCGATGCGAATTTGCTACAAGGAGCCGAGGAGCAGGTGAAGTTGCTCAAAGACGAGCTCCAATGCATGCAGCGTTTCGTTCGAGACGCCTCGAAAAAGAAAGACAGAGAGGAGAAGATCCGTGGATGGTTATCCGACGTCGCTGATGTCACACACGATGCCGATGCCATCATCGACGCCTTGTTTCTCAAAGTCGAGACCGCAAAAAGATGCATCGAATCGCGGGGAGAATTGGCTTACATACCAAAGCATCCCTATACCCTGATCGCGAAACAAATCGAGCTTCTCCGGTCGAAACTCCGAGACATTGAAATCGCCCGCGAGAGGTACGGGATTCAAGATTTAGTTCGTGAGGAAACGGAGCAGTTTTGGCGGGAGCTACAATTTTCGGTCCGGCAAAACGACAAACAGTTGGTGGGCGTTGAGGAAGACGTGGAGCTTCTGCTCCGGAAAGTGATCTTGGAGAAGACGGAAACCCTTTCCACTACCGGCATTGTCGGAGCGGTCGGGATCGGAAAGTCAACTCTCGCCCGGAGAATATACGAGCTCGCGGTTGCGTCAAAACGATACGTCAAGTGTGTATGGGTAGCGGTTTCCGGCGAATCCATGACACCGAAAGACGTGATCAAGGAGGTGATACTGAATTTCTTGAACCCGTTGCAGGACAAACTAGAGGAGGCGAAGAAGCTGGAAGAACTGCCATTGTCGGGAATCCAACAAGAACTTCAGGACAGCGTCGAGGGTGCACAACTTTTCTTAGTTCTGGACGATGTTCGGCAAGAAGCGCAGTGGGAATCTATTGCAACTGTTTTCACCAGTGAAGGTAACTTCAACTTGTCTACTTATAACTTCTGGTAATAATTCATGTTCTCAATTTAGAAATGGGAAAAATACAGTTTCACCCTCAAATTTGTACTAATTAAACATTTGGTCCCTCATGTTTGAATAATTTAACATTTTTGGTTATTTCTATCAATTTATCGTTAATCCGTCAATTGAGGCAGTGATGGGCACACCTTAATTCCGTTAGCAGTGACAGAAAATTGACGGAAAAGACTAAAAGTGTCTAATTTTTTAAATATAATGGACCAAATGTATTTTTTTGTGAACATGGGGACTAAATATGAAATCGGTGAAAACTTAAGGGATAAAAACTGTATTTTTCACATTTAGAAATTGTTATTTAATAAACTTTAAATGGGAAAATCACAGTTTTCACCTCTCAAGTTTGCACCAATTTCACATTTGGTCCCCCATGTTCACAAAAAATATATTTGGTTCCTCGTGTTTCAATAATTTAACACTCTTAGTCATTTCTGTCAATTTACCGTTAGTCGGTTAGTTAAGGCAGTGATGGGCACATGCTTGTTTACGTCAGTTTTAACGGAAATGACTAAAAGTGTTGAATTTTTGAAACATAAAGGGCCAAATGTGTATTTTGTAAACATGGGGACGAAATGTGAAATTGGTACAAATTTGAGGGACAAAACCTATATTTTTCCCAATAAAAAAATTAAAAACTCTAATTATGTTTTTCTTTTACATTTAACTAAATTACACAAGTCAAACTCTCTTTTAAAGTTATATATAAACAGTTTTCTTCATCTATTTAGAAATTATGCGATAAATACAGTTTTCACCCCTCAAACTTGAACTAATTTCATATTTGGTCCCCATGTTCACAAAAACCATATTTAGCCCCTCATGTTCAAAAAAATCAACACTTATGGTCCTTTTCGTCATTTTTACGTTAGTACTAACGGAGTTAAGTGTGTGCCCGTCACTGCCTTAACTGACGGACTAATGATAAATTGACAGAAGGACCACATGTGTTGAATAATTGAAACATGAGGGACCAAATGTGTTTTTTTGTGAACATGAAGGACCGAATATGAAATTAGTGCAAACTTGAGGGGTTAAAACTGTAATTTTCCCATATAAACAGTTTTTCTTGCATAAACACTGAAAATTAGTTGTTATTCGGACAGACAAAGGAAGTGCACTGTTGCTTACAAGTCACAACGAGGATATTGTAAAGCATGCTGGTTATGTTCATGAGATGAAAACTTTAGACCCCAATAAAAGCTGGGATTTGTTTACGAACAAGGCGTTCATCGATCGCGTCGACGGCGGTAAACTTCCGAAAGATTTGGATATTATCGGGAGAGAGATCTTGAAAAAGTGCGACGGTCTACCGTTAGCAATCGCCTTGGTAGGAGGCCTTCTACGCGACAAGAATCCATCCAAGAGAAAATGGGACAATGTTTTGAATGATATGAACACTAATTTGGGAAGTAGTAGTATTTTATCGACAATCTTGGAATTAAGTTATCGAGATTTTCCCCCTCAACTCAAGTCGTGTTTTCAGTATCTAGGCTTGTTTAAGGAACGCGTTCCTATCCGTGCCGAAAAGTTGGTGCAAGTGTGGATTGCGCAAGGTTTAGTGGTCGAACTCGAAGAAGAAGAAGAAGAAACGAAAGAGGAGATAAGTAGGGGCTATTTGGATGAGTTGATCAATCGAAACATGGTACAAGTCCACGATTTCAATACCGACGGTCGAGTGAAAAACTGTTGTATTCACGATCTTGTCCGTGAGCTATCGATCACAAAGGCAAAGAAGGAAATAGGTTTGGACATCCTAAAGGAGGACGGGAAAACCCAATCGTTGTCGGGTAAACCTCAACGACATCTTGCTATATACGGTGGCGGCGATCAAAGGTCCATTTTTAACTCCAAGAATATTAATCAAAACGAGACACATGTTCTCTCTCTTTTCTTCCACGGAGTTAGCAGCTTCCTTATCGACAATCCGTCGTATTTGAAAAGCTTCGAACTCCTTAAGATACTCGACTTTGAGGATCTTCCTTTGAAAAGCGTGCCCGACACGATTGGATTGTTGATTTCGTTGAAGTACTTGGGATTAAGAAACACGAAGATAAAGAGTCTCCCGGAATCAATTGGGAGACTCAAGAATCTTGAGGTTCTTGATGTAACAAAAGTTTACCAAGTTGAAGTGGATGACGTGCTATGGGAAATGGAGAGCTTACGTCATATACACGGCGAAAATATCTACTCCGAGTATCTACTGAAAACGCACACTCTTAAGAATCTCCAGACACTGGGATACATCTACGTCGAAAATTTGATCCCCGCGCACCTCATAAAAATGAAGAGTCTCCGTAAATTGAGCTTGTGGATCGTCGTTAGTTTAAACTTTGACGGGATAAGATTCTATCCGTTATTGGATATGCTGGAGAATCTTGTTTGTCTAGAGATTAAATGGGGTCCTTCGAGCACGGTTAAATCATTGGAGCTGAATGGGCTCGATATCCTGCAACGCGTGACTAAACTTAAACTGTCCGGTGTGATGAAAAAGTTGCCACGCGCGAATGAATTGCCGCCAAATCTTTCATACTTGACATTATCGAGAACTTGTCTGTACGAAGATCCGATGCCGGAACTTGAGAAGCTGTCCAAGTTGGTGCACCTTAAGCTGGATTGTGCGTATATTGGTCGTGGAGATATGGTGATCTCGGAAAACGGGTTCCCGAAGCTCCAGACGCTGCTTCTGTACAGAATGTGGGACTTGAAGAATGTGCGGGTCGGAAAAGGTGGAATCCCCGATCTCAAAAAACTGATGATACGCGAATGCAACAAAAAATTGGGGACGGGTTTTTCGGAAGAGTTGCGGTGGGTGACTACTTTTCTCCAGGAGATAATAAAAACTAATTAATATATATACGTGGTGAGATTAATTTAATAAGTTGGAAACCTTCCACATTGTTGTATTGTAATAAGCAGTAATCGTGTTTATTGTAATATACGGGCACTCTTTTCCTTGTTTTGGTCGACAAGGTTTTTAACGAGGCCCTCCTGTACCCTTCAAAGTTTAATGCAATAAACATATTTTTTTCGGCCCAAAAAGAATTCCTTGTAAGCATTAATCGAGTCTGAATTTCCAATAACTGACATATATAGAGCCAGAACGAATCGATTCAATCAACCTCGATCCATGGTAATGGTGTTTCGGTGAGACGTTGGCATGGAGTATCTTCACTAAAGTAAGGAAAAAAGTGACTTTGATCTCGATTTTATCTTATTTATGTACCATAGAGTAGTTGTGTAAAATAAATTAAGTTGTTCGGGTAAGGCGTCTACTCGCGAGGAAGAAGCGCGAGTAGGAACTCGGGGCATCACAAAAGCAAATATATGTCATGTAGCCTCTTACAAGCATCCCTAAGAATATCTTTTTGTAACATAGGCACTAAGCTTTGGAGAAATATCCCGGATTTCATGAATCGACACAATTAATCGAATTGTACAAATGCAATGTTACCCGCAAGATCTATTTCATATATAGATGGTTCATAACCCTTAAGGTAAGACGATTTTTACAACATACTATTTTGACTATCATGAAAAGTCAAAAGATTACATCAATATCTTTAAAAGTAAACCGGATATAGAGTCGGACAACCGAATCCTTCTATCCGAAACCAACAACTGAAGAATAATACGACAAGTTCCCGAATATTCAGCGGGTTTTTCGTATCTTCTAATCACAAACTAATCAACCATGATCATTGATTTTTGGATAAGTATTGCCAATCTTTTATTAGACACTCGACAAAAATAATACTAGTGAATGCTATTAGGCAAAAGTCAAAAGATTACGAGGGGTGAACTAAGTACTGAGTCCGTTCTTTGCAGGCGAATTCGCTTAAAAGAATCGAAACTCGAAATTTAGGGATTGGATTGACTTGTTAAAAAAAGAAGAATAAATTCGGCTGTTTGATTGGCTGGCAAGATGACTTTGTCATTCTTTATTGGTCGAAAGACCGGTTCGTTTTATTTGATCTTTTTGCTGCATCACTTGTTATTTAAGCAAACATGAAATTCGATTATAGTGAGATAACTTACATAGAAGATGGCGGAGGCGGCAATATTGTCTGCGGTGAGAAAAATGGCCGATTTGCTGATCGATGCTAATTTGCTACAAGGCGCCGAGGAACAGGTGAAGTTGCTCAAAGACGAGCTCCAAAGCATGCAGCGTTTCGTTAGGGACGCCTCGGAAAAGCAAGACATAGAGGAGAAGATCGGTGAATGGTTATCCTACGTCGCTGATGTCACACACGACGCCGATGACATCATCGACGCCTTATTTCTCAAAGTGGAGGCCGCAAAAAGAAGCATCGAATCTCGGGGAGAGTTGGCTTACATACCAAAACATCCCTATCACCTGATCGCGGAACAAGTCGAGCTTTTCCGATCGAAACTCCGAGACGTTGGAATTGCCCGCGAGAGGTACGGACTACGGAATTCAAGATCTCGGTCACGAGGGGATAAAGTTTTCTTGGCGGCTGCGGCAATTGTCTCCTCGGCAAATAGACAAACAGTTGGTGGGCATTGATGAAGACGTGGAGATTCTGCTTCGGAAAGTGATTCTGGATAATAGCAAAGGCCTTTCAACTACGAGCATTGTCGGACCGGTCGGGATCGGAAAGTCAACTCTTGCCCGGAGAATATACGACCGCGCAGTTGCGGCTGCGCGATTTGACCGGTGTGTTTGGGTGGCGGTTTCCGGCGAGTGCACACCGAAGGACGTAGTCAAGGAGCTAGCGCTGAAGCTGTTGGATCCCAAGGAAGAGAAGAGTCTGGAATAACTGCCATTGTTGAGCATCCAAGAAAAGCTTCGTCGGAGTTTGCACGACGCGCGGTTTTTTGTGGTTATTGACGATGTGGGACAAGATGCCCAGTGGGAATCTATTGCCAGTGTTTTCGCCATTGAAGGTACGTCTTCTTTATCATTTAGTTAATTGCAATTAGGCACCTGTGCTATATAACATATTGCTAAAACTATCTAAATTTGTTTTGCTTAAAATACATTTTACCCCTTGAATTATACTATATGTGACACTTACCTCCTTGTATTTTAAAAAATGGTAAATTACGAAAACCCCTGAATTTAGGTTGAATAACGAAAACATCCACACCTATCCGTAATAACCAAAGTTCCCCTCTGATTAACCGTTGATCGGGTTTTTTAACAGAAAATGTGTACAGTCTATTATATCTTCTGTTAAATATGTGAGAAATAAAATAAATTATATGAAATTGTGTAAAGTTTATTCCGTGTAATAAAAAAAAAATCCGTGAAAAGTCACATTGTAAGCAATTGGTGTAAGACGGAAACAAACTTCAGGGTTTTTTTTTGTTAATTATTAATAGGTGGGGTGTTTTTTGTTATTTAGCCCAAGTTTAGGGGGGGTTTGTAATTTACACTTTAAAAAATACACTTGCCCCTCATTTTAAAGGTGTTTTTAGCAATTTGATAGATATTGAGTTGTCAAAATATATCAGTGGTTTCTTCTATATTGATTATGTTACATTTATCCCTACACTTTGTAAATATACACTTAAATCCGTTATTCTTCGGACAGATAAAGGAAGTCGATTGATGCTAACAAGTCGCAACGAGGACATTGGGAAGAGTGTCGGCTATGTTCACAAGATGAAAACTTTAGATCTTAACAAGAGTTGGGAATTGTTTACGAAAAAGGCGTTCATCGACAACAACAATAATAACGTTGATGGCAAACTCTCCGCAGACTTGGAAATTATCGAGAGAGAGAGATCCTGAAAAAATGCGACGGTTTACCGTTAGCAATTGCCTTGGTAGGAGGGGTATTATGGGAAAAGAATCCATCCAAGAGAAAATGGGAGAAGGTTTTGAATGACATAAACAACACTCATTTGGGAAGTAGTACTATCTTATCAACAATTCTCGAATTAAGTTATCGAGATTTGGCTCCTCAACTGAAGTCGTGTTTTTGTTGTCTAGGCTTCTTTAACGAACACGTACCTATAATTCGTGCCGAAAAGTTGGTACAAGTGTGGATCGCGCAAGGTTTAGTGGTCCCACTCGAAGGAATAGACCAAGAAGAAACGAAGGAGGAGATAGGTATGTGTTATTTAGACGAGCTAATCAATCGAAACATGGTAGATATCAAGGATTTGAGTAAAGATGGTCGAATTAAAAGTTGTTGCATCCATCGTCTTATCCGCGAGCTATCCATCACAAAGGCAGGCAACGAAAGAAATAAGTTTTGAGATCATAAGAAAGGATGGAAAATCTCAATCGTTGGATAAACCTCGTCATCTTGCTATATACAGTGGCAGTGATCAAAGGTTCGTTTATAGCTCCAATTGCCAACACGAACATATAAATGCTCACTCTCTTTTCTTCGACGGAATTGGCAACTCCGTTAACAATAATAATCTGTTGGAACCACGGCTGCACTTCGACGATTGATCACGAAACTTGTGGATGAGGCTTGGACTCCATTTGTTCTCAAATTTTATAGGTAACAAGTTGCTGCAATAAAAACCACAATAATATGGAGATAGGCAAGGTGAGGCGCGGACTAGGTCGCTTTCTTAAGACGAATTTCACGACCCCTTCTCTAATGAGGTGCAAAAAGGTTCCGATCGTGTCGCCTATGGGATACAACAGCCCAGCCTATCTCTCCGCTGTAACTTCACCGAAATTGCACGTTCGAGTGAAGTAGAAGCTTACACCCGACACACAACAAGAGCTCACAATATATGTATATAGTATAAATGAATAGTGTTTATTTTTCTCTTCACACACCCACCATGTAAAGCCACAATATCCCCTTTATATAATATATAATATAGCCCCCATAAAACCTCAATTTAATATAGAAATTATGGTATTTTATGTAGGTAAATAATGACTTTGAAGGTTTCAAAATAGTGGTCTAATGACCCTCATAAAAGTGGTCAAAGTCATTATTATAATTTATAATAAAATATATTGTTTTTATTAAAATAATCCAACATAATCCATTGTATTTAAAGACTTTCGAACTCCTTAAGATACTCGACTTTGAAAATCTCCCGTTGAAGAATTTACCAGAAACAATCGGTTTGTTGACTCGGTTAAGGTATTTGGGATTAAGAAACACAAGTATAAAGAGTCTCCCACACTCAATAGGTAAACTCAAGAATCTCGAGGTACTCGACATAGCAAGAGTTTACAAAGTGAAAGTGGGAGATGTGATACGCGAAATGGAGAGCCTGCGTCATATACACGCCGGGTTTTTCTACTCTGTCGATCGTTTAAAAACCGACACTCTAAAGAATCTTCAGACACTAGGCTACATCTACGCGGGAAATTTGATCCCCGAGCAAGTGAAAAAGATGAGGGCTCTTCGCAAATTGAGCTTGTTTATCACGAGGGATTTAGGGTTTAAAGGGAGCGAGTTCTTTCGGTCATTAGCTACGTTAGAGAATCTCGTGTGCCTAGAACTGAAGTGGGGCCCACCAGATTCTATCCAACCCTCGCACTAGGCCAAAATAGGCCACTGGCGACGAAATATAGCGACGAAAATATAGTATTGGCGACGAAATATCAATAATTGCGACGAAAAACAATCGTCGCAAAGGCTGCCAAAAAATCGTCGCCAAAGCGGTCGTCGCTAAGCCTGCGACGAATCTATGTTTTCGTCGCAACATATGGCGACGAATGCATTTTTCGTCGTAATAATTCGTTTTTCTGGGTTATTCGTTTTGTAGCAAATAGCGACGAAAGTACTTTTCGTCGCAACTATTTATCCCTCAATTTGCTGCGTTTTTTATATTTTCGTCGCAAATATTTATTCATTAATTTGCGACGTTTTTCTAGGAACATTGCAATTTTTTATTTTATTTTTTTACACTGAATAATAAAATAGAAATTAACCTGTAATTAATTATCAACTATAATAACACAATTAACTATTAGATATAATAATACATCACATTAAAATTGTAATTTCAGGTCAAATACATCCAAATAAAGTTAAAAAATACAAAAATTAAGAAAAATATTGTAGAATTACATAAAGGAGTTGATCCACATTCTTTTATCCATTCATCATTAGTTATCCACTTGATCATAAACTATTTCCAAGCGTGCCTGAAAAAAATGTTTAAGTATATATATAAGCATTATCTTATAAATACGAACAAGTACAAGTTCACAATATAAAATAAAATAAAATAAATAAGAAGTATATAATCCATTACATCGATCAACATCAACAACCAAATGATGCATATAAAACAAAGCCTATTGCCTAAAATTTACAGTCTTATTCATAGGCAATTTATAATTTACACAAAGAATCATAAACCGAAATTTTTACGATCTTTCATTATTGAAAAAACAGAGCTAATGCTTAAACAAAAATGAACAGAGATAATCATTATCCACACATTATAGAGAAGTAACATGCTTAAATTACCACTTCTAATCACGTTCTCCTAGAAATCAAATCTTGAAGCAGAGCAAGTAAATAATTCTTTCTATTCAAGAAAGCAACTTATAATAGAGAGAATCTCAGTACAACAATAAACAGTGGGGTACCTTGGGCAGGAGAATTCTTCTACCGACAGAAAGAGTATCAAGAAAAAAAACGATAATAACTTGTCACTATTTCATCATAAATCCAGGAAGTGCATCAGTAAACGGCATTGTATCTAGCATACATCCCTGCTGAATATATAACAAAAAGATGTTAAATTAAACAATGTTTACCAAGAACCATAATCTAACAGACATGTTAAAAGCAAAGAAAAATTAGTTTGTGAAATTTAATCCTTGTTCTTTATGGATTTTTTCTTTAATATTAAGCTCATAACTAATTTCGCTGGGCCTGCCAATACAAAATACCATAATAAAAAATATGTAACAAATACGAAACACTTTGCAATAAATCACAACCAAGAGACCAACAAATTATGAGATTTTGTCATATAGACACATATACATAAGGAACAGACCTTCAAGTGCTGCCAATGAAGTCTCCATACAAAGATTAAGGAATCTTCATTAGATAAACACCTGGTAGCAAAAGGAGAATCAAATAAATTAACATAAACATATTAAAAGAAACAAAATCAAAATTTCAAATAATTTCAGCCCCATCCCTAACTTTTTCCCCAAACATTCACAAACAAATTTCTTATTAACACTTCTTATTTACTATGAATGAACAAAAAACAATGAGAATTAAAAAAAAAAAAAAAAAAAAAAAGAGAAACTCACCACACACTTCTGGAAATGAATCCGCAGTGATTTCAGCGCTTCCAGATCTTCATTAGAAATACTAAATGACCCATCTGCATATAAATAAAGCACACGTATTCTCGAATTTATACATAAAATTCCGTCCAAGTTCATCAATCTATAGAGAGAAAAAACGAAGTGATGATTGAATTTAATCTCAAAAATTTATAAAAATAAATAAATTACCCAGATTGGAAACGCCATTTATGTAAACGAGAATGGCAGAAAATCCAGAGATCAAAGCAACAACAAAAGCTAAATGCAACAGCCTCATCGAACTCTGTAATCGGTCCGAGAATCTATCCAAAAAATTAAGTTAAAAAAAAAAGGATTTGATTATGATAAATTAACATAAACATAAATTCATCTCATATCCTCCCTAGAAAGGATATTAAGAAAAATAATTATCTAACATTGAGGGAACCAAATAAAACTATTTCACCTCCTGAAATATGAAAGCTAAATAAAAAATTAGTCAAATCTTACATTATCAAACAAAATGTCGAATTTATGGACAAAAGAGTGTTGCGGAAGTTGGGGCATTAAAATTGCATATATAGTTGCTTGCTATTTACCTCATAAATAGGTAAATTTATACCTAGAGTTTTGAGGGGCTGGGCTTCATAGATGGTGGACGGCGTCTAGTTGAACACAGTAGCAGCGATTGGAAACGAAGATGACGGCCGGCGACTGCGGGGGCGTGGTCTTGGGCAACGACGGCGGCTGGATAGACATGGGCAATGACGGCGGCGCCGACGAGAGTAAACTTGGGGAGCGAAGATTGACAGCGTCAACCTAATCGGCGGTGACAATGACGGAAAAAAAGAGGGAGTGTGGAGGAAGAGAGAGTAAAATATTAGGGCAACGGCGGAAATGAAGAGGGGTAAGTGAATAAATTAAGTTGTGTGAGCGACGTTTTAAGATTTTCATCGCCAATTCATTGAGATATTTTTTTTAAAAAAAACATTGCTACGATTCCAAGAATTTCGTCGCAAATAAAGTAAATTTTACTTTAGGGTACGTTGCGACGATTATTGTAATTAGTCGCTAGTAAAATTTACAAAAACTTTTTTTGGTGTTATGTGGCGACGATTTCTACGTTTCGTCGCAAATAAAATAAAATTAAAAGTTTTAAATGCATAGGTTGCGACGATTCACATATTTTCGTCGCCCAAAAATAATTTTCAGAAATATCTTGCGACGGTTTACACACTTTTGTCGCAAACAAGATAAAATAAAATAATATTTAAATATTTTGCTACGAAAAAATATAATTCGTCGCAATAGTTAATTATGAAAAAACCAAATTAGAGTCGTTTGCTACGAATGTAGGATTTTCGTCGCAATCATTTTCAAAATTGGTGGCGATGTGGAGCTTGCGACGGTATTTATTTATTAACGTCGCAAATTTGCTACGAAATTATTTTCGTCGCGAAAAAAAACGTCGCCAGTGTCCTGTTTTGGCCTAGTGTCGGAGCTGAAGATGCTCGATTCCCTGCACCGTGTCACTCGACTTAAACTGAAGGGTATCGTATCCGAATTTCCAAGTGCGAGTCAGTTTCCTCCGAATCTATCTCATTTGAACGTATTGTTAAGGAGTACTAGCGCGTATAATACGGACCCGACGTGGGAGCTGGAGAAGCTGCCGAAGTTGGTGTACCTCAAATTGGATTGCGATCAGTATCCTGGCTTGACATATATGAGGATATCCGAAAACGGGTTCCCGATGCTCGAAGTGCTCGTTCTTCGTAAGATGTCGAAGGTGGGGAGTGTAAGACTTGGAAAAGGTGCAATGCCGATGATCAAACGATTGTATTTGTACCGATGCGGAGAACATCTCTTGACGAATCTTCCCGAGAAGCTGAGATCAGTCACTACTGTTCTTTAATACGCATGTTTATAACAGCACAAATTAGTGTGTGTGTGTGTGTGTGTGTGTGTGTATAATGTATGTGCATTTCCTAGCAACTAGCATAACTGAACAACCTTATTTTCACTGCTATAGAAAAAAAATTATTTAGCATTAAGTTACTTGTTTGTAGTTGTGAAAAATTAATATTTCATGATAGAGTATGCTTATATTCTTTTCTTTTTAAGCTAAACAAGGTTTTAACGAGCCACGGCTTTTGAAAAAAAAAAATCATTCCGGCTAAAGAAAAAGGCAAATTATGGTCGCCTCTAAAGTAAGATTAAATTATGAAAAAAAACTCTTATTGTTTGGGTAATTACAAACATCCCTTCAACTAAGTATTGTCTTACGAAACCCCCTCTCATTCAACAGGTAAATTTGACACCGTAATGATGGACGTATAAGACAATACATAGTTGAAGGGTGGTTTAATTACCCAAACATGAGGATTTTTTCGTAATTTAATCTTATCTCAGAGGGATGGCCGTAATTTAGCCAAAAAAATAAGGACACCTAGTTTCGTAAGGAAATAGTCGAGCTCCAGTTTTCTGACATGTTGAGTCCGAGCTTACTTCTGATGATAAAAGTTTTTTTTTTTTTAAACATATACATAAAAGTATTTTATAACTTTTGTATTATAAATAATTTATATGTACACTTAATTGTTGACTTTATAAAAGGGCAGAGAACAGATGGAAGTTGACAACATACAATTGAACCAGCACATATTCCTCTCATTTATTTTATTTCAACTGGGAATTTTTATTTAATTTTTCGTCGTGCAATTTAATGTTCTACTTCATAATAAGAGCTTGTAAACATATTAATTGTTTTATTCATAATATTTAAATATTATAATTTAGGGTAAACTACAATCAACTCCCTGAGGTAAACTGTAATTACGAAAAAAAACCCTTATTTTTGAAAATTTACATCTAGCACCCAGCAGTTTGTAAATTTCTTACATCCACCCCCTTTTGTAGGGTGTTAATGTAAGAAATCTACAAATTTCAAGAGGTGGATGTAATTACGGAAAAAGGAGGGAGTATTTTGTAAATAGACATTACTTCAGGGGTTGATTTTAATTAACCATATATTTTATTTTCAAATAATGCCAGAGTGCATATATCTCTCATTAGTCTTTCTTTATTAGTAGATCAAAAGACCAATTCTCTTCTGCTGAGTTATTTGTTATATGATCCAACACCTCCCACCACAATGTACAAATTCAATCATCAACCGAAAAAATTCCAAAAAAAAAAAAAAAGAAAAAAGAAAAACGGGAGATTCGTTACTCTTACACGGACAGATATGGCCGAAGCGGCGGTTTTATCCGCGGTGAAAATTCTAAGCGAATTAGTGATCCGAAACGCTGGTTACTTACATGGTGTCGAGGAACAAGTAAACTGGCTCAAAGGCGAACTCGAAATGATGCAATGCTTCCTAAAAGACGCGGCCGAAAAGCAATCCGAAAACGAGAGCATAGGAAAATGGATATCCGATATCAGAGAGCTTGCTCATGATGCGGATGATGTCATCGAAAGCTTCATTCTCAAATTCGACGCCTCGAGAAGTAACTTCGGTGCATTCGGAAAGTTGATTCACTTACCAAGCAATCTGTACCACCTCAGCATTGTAGGGAACGAGATCAACTCCATCAAAGCTAAGCTCGAAGAGATTGAGAGGAGCCGCGTCAGGTACGGGATTCAGAATCTTTGCGAAATGAGAGCGGAGTCTTCTAGAAGCTCGGAGGATGCGGGAGAAGTCGAGTGGCGGCGCAGATTGTCTCCTTGGCAAAAAGACAAACACGTGGTCGGCTTGGAGAGAGACGTGCAGTTGTTGCTCGATAAGGCGATCTTGGACGGGAGTGGAGGGTTGACCGTTGCAACCATTGTCGGGATGGGCGGGATCGGAAAGTCAACTCTTGCCAAGAAAGTGTACAACCATTCGGGCGTGGCTAAACGGTTCGATGTTTGCGCTTGGGTTGTAGTTTCGAATGAATTCAAGCCCAAGGACATAGTCAAAGAGCTGATGCCGCAGATTTTAGGCACGAGAGAAAACAAGCTGGCGGTTCTGGAGACTATGGAGAAGCTATCGTTGACAAGCATCGAAGAAATGCTACACGAACGACTGCGCGGCAAGCGGTATTTCGTAGTTCTTGACGATCTCTGGGATAACAAACATTGGGAGTCTTTGGCTAGTGTTTTCCCCGATGAAGGTATGTTTTTTTTCTCCTACATAGCTAATTCGGATGAGCTCGAGATCCGTGATTTATCGTACTTGTTAAACGGGTCCCGACTCTCGACCCGTTGTTCTTATATCCATCGTGCATTGACTTTATGGATGTCTAAATAAGTTGACTTTTATAGGTAGAGGAAGCAGGTTGTTGATTACAAGTCGCAATCAGGACATTGTGAAGCATGCGTATGTTCATAAGATAAAACTCCTCGACTCTGACGAGAGCTGGGAATTGTTGAAGAAGACGGCATTCATTGACAGCGGTAATGAATACAAATGCCCGCAGGACTTGAAAAGTATAGGCGAAAAGATCTTGAAAAAGTGCGACGGTCTACCATTAGCCATCACTGTCGTAGGAGGCCTACTGGTCGATAAGACCCCGTCGAAGGCTAAATGGGAGAAAGTTCTGAATGAAATAAACTCCCATTTGGGCACAAAAGAAAGCAAAGTGTCGAAAATTCTCGATTTAAGTTACCGCAATTTGTCTCCGGAGCTCAAGGCGTGCTTCTTATCTCTAAGCCTCTTCAAAGAAGATGCCACTATCCGCGCACGGAAGTTGGTGCAAGTGTGGGTCGCACAAGGCTTAATCAAACAAGAAAAAGGGGAGAGCTATTTAGATGAGCTCATCAATCGAAACATGGTTCGAGTAAAAGATATGAGCAAAAACGAGACCGTGAAAAGTTGCCAGATCCACGATCTTATTCGCGAACTGTCCATCATAAAAGCAAAAGAGGAAACGAGCTTCGAGATCTTACGGGAGGATTCAAAATCTGGATGGTCTCTCCATAAACCTCGCAATCGTGCTATCTACTGCAGCAGCGAAACATTCATTCACTCGATTGATAAAAATAAGCATCTCCGCTCGCTCTTCTTCCACGCAGACGGAGACAAGAAATTCGACGTGGACCCATCGTACTGGAAGAGTTTCGAACTCCTCAGGATACTCGACTTTGAAGATTTCAAGCTCGAGGTTGTGCCCGACACGATCAGTGAGCTGACAGGGTTGAGGTACTTGGGGTTGAGAAATACCATGATACGAAACCTCCCGCGCTCGCTCGGCCGCCTCAAGAAACTCGAGGTTCTCGATATAGCTCGGACACGTCACTCTCTGCAAGTGCCGGACGTTATATGGGAAATGGACAGCCTCTCTCATCTTTACATGCATCATCACTTCATCTGCGAGACTCCTCTAAGACTAGACACTCTGAAGAATCTCCACTCGTTGTCGTACATCAAAATGGATTACTTGATTCTCGAGCATCTAACGCAGATCACTAGTCTCCGGAAATTGGGCATATCTCTCTTCTCGACTAAAAAAGTCGAATGGAGTAGTCCGTTGAAGAGTCTCGTTCGCGTCACTCAACTTAAAGTGGTCGGCATGCTGACCAAAGTACCGAGCGCGGCCTATTTTCCTCCGAATATTACATGCTTGACTTTGGTGAGAACTACGATCGAAGAAGACCCGATGCCGGTTTTGGAGAAGCTTCCGAAACTAGTGTGCCTGAAGTTTAAAATGTACGCGTATTCCGGTCAGGAAATGGTGATATCGAGTAAGGGATTCCCGAAACTACAAGTGCTCATCCTTCATACGATGGAGAATTTGAAGAATATACGGCTACTCGGACTACGAGGCGGAATAATGCCGCTCAAACGATTGGAAATCTATAAATGCCCGTGTCTGAATCAACTCCCCGAAAAGCTGAGATCAATGGCTACTATTGTCAACAAGTAGATTTTTTTTTTTTATATATAACATACATTTACAGGCTGTGGAAAATGCATGAAAGATTTTGAACTGATCGATGATCTTATATCTTACCTTCGTTTAAAAATGTGGATGTGATTGATAAGATTGCATGGATTGGTTAGGATTATATTATTCATGATGGATGATGTAATATATCAAGCAAGGTTCTAAATATCGGTTATCGGGTTCGAGACGGTTAGGGACCGCCACACAATAAATCGGTGCGACGGTGATTAATCGGAGATATATTGGAAATAAATCGGTTTTTAGATTTAGTGTAATATATTTCTAAATACTATTTGTTAATATATAAAAAAAATTGAACTTGATTCTCTCCTCATCATTCATATAATCTAATCAAATAACAAAAGTTTAACATTTAGAACTTGATTATCTCCTCATCGTTCTAAATGTTTTTATTTTTAGGCCAGGTTCTTCTTACGGGGTCGGTGAATTTAGGTTTGATTGAAAGAGATAATGGGTTGGAATTAAAAAAAAAAAAAAAAAAAAAAAGATAAACACCCTATTTTCCTTGTAATAAAAAATAAATAAATAAAATTAGAAAAAAAATATTTTTCCGATATATCGCTCGAAGTTTGACCAGATATATCGGTTTAACCCGCCACAGACCGCCACAAACCGCCTCACCGTCAAAAAACCGATTTTCAAAACCGTCACACAAATATCGTAAAGGTTTATGTCCGCCACAAATATCGCGGCTAATATATCGACCACCACAACCGATATTTAGAACACTAAATATATGTTGTCTTTTGTTTGTGATTATAATTATACAATTCTTTCTAGTGTGAAAAGAGTAACAATTGTATTGTTTTGCATTGTCCAAACCCACCGCCTTTCCAGACTACACCCACCTAACAATAATAATAATTATAAAATTAAAATTAAAATTAAAATTAAAATTAAAATTAAATTTAGGTTCGACGGAGAATTTGTTGGCGGTGGAGGTCGGTCGTGAAGGTGGTGAAAGCCAGTCAAGAATTGAATTGCAGAAGATAGGAGGTCGATTAGTCACCATTTTCTCTAAATTACATTACTCACTATTTTACCTTTTAACGAATCTGGGAAAACCAATTATACTTGGATTTTTCACTTTTTACATTTCATTGTCTACGAACCAATCAGAGTCTAAAGTATTCTTGAATAGGCTTTTGAGGAATCTTATATATAAAAGAAAGAAACGCTAGGGTAACCTAAGAAACCCTAATGACATATTTGTAAAAATAAATTAATTTATGCATAAATATATTTTTTTATCTCCTATTTTGCAACTATTTTTTTTCTAATTATTTTAACACCAAATCCCGGTTAGCACAATCATAATCCACTACATCTATATTTATTTAATTATTATTATTACTTTCCAGCCTATTTTTTTTAATAAAAAATATGCTTCATTTATTTTATGATTTACAATTAAGTTTTTATAGTTTTTCTAATGAGTTTATATTATGGTCCCTTAGAGCTTATATTATTAAATCCGTATAAATCTTGATATTGTTATCAATATCACTAATAAATTTTATTATAATTGTAATTATCATGTATTAAATTAATCATCATTTTCATTTGAAATGCTATCCCGTGCATCGCACGGGCGAAAATGCTAGTATATATATAAAATAAACGGCTGCCCCCGAGGTTATAAGGTCAAATTATGGAGAAAAAAAACCCTCGTGTTTGGGGTAATTACAACCACTTCCCTGAACTATGAATTTTCTTACACTTCCACCTTTGCAGTGTCAAATTTAGTGGAATATTTTAAATTATGTGAAATATTCTCCAATTTGTACACGTTTTACCCCATTTACGTTTTACCCCATTTGAGCTCTACATTTTAAAACAAGATCATAAAATGTGTCACTTGGCTTGTAAATATCGGATTGTGCTGCATTAGAAACTGCATTTTTGCACAAAACGAGTACAAACCAGAGAGCATTCCACATAATCTAGAAGACTATATTGAATTTGACACTATAAGGGTGGATATGTAAAAAGTTTATAGTTGAGAGGGTAATTGTAATTACCCAAACATGTAGAGGTTTTTCGTAATTTGACCTTACCTCAAGGAGGTGTCCGTAATTTACCCCATATATATATATATATATATATATATATATATATATATATATATATATATATATATATATATATATATATATATATATATATATAGAGATAGAGAGAGTGCATTGAGAGAGAGAGAGAGAGAGAGAGAGAGAGAGAGAGAGTGCATTGATGAACGAATTTGATTGAAAATGATTGTGTTGAGAATTTCATTCACAAAATGTAAATTGACAGCATTGTAAGTTGACAATATGCAGTTGAACAAGCACACATATTCACCTGTCATTCATTTGGACCTTAGATCAACAACAGTCAAATGATCTCAACCGTTTAAAACAAATGTTGAACTTGTCACATATTCCTCTCCTCTACTTCAATATTTCCACTTGGAAATTTGCTGGTTTTATATTTTGTAAAATACTATTGAAGAATGTGACAAGTTCCTAAATGTAATATTTTTACTTCAAGAGTTGACATTTGACAAATTCTTCGATAAACATGTGAACGAGGCCTGTTGGGAGCCACGATCATTTATCTTTGTCGTATCGAAGAAAGACCAGTTCGCTTCTGCTGCATTACTTGTTATATAATCCAACTCCTCCCACCATTTACAAATACACAATAAAGTCCACAACAGAAATATAGCTAGCTATCTTGCAAAGATATGGCAGAGGCAGCTATTTTCTCTGCAGTAAAATCTCTAGGCGTGTTGGTCGTCGAAAAGGCCGGTTTCCTACAAGGCGTTGAGGAACAGGTGAAGTGGTTGAAACGCGAGCTCAAAAGAATGCAATGTTACCTGAAAGACGCGGCAGAAAAACAACCCCAGAACGAGAGCATTCGGCAATGGATATCCGACATCAGAGAGGTGGCTCAAGATGCCGAGGATGTCATCGAAACCTTCATTCTCAAATCCAACACCCCGAGAAGTAGTGAAATGTCATTTCATGAGAGGGTGATTTCCATACCCAAACATTTGTATCACCTCAACGTGGTAGGGAAAGAGATCGACTCCATCAAAGCCAAGCTCCAAGACATCGAGAGAAGCCGTGTGAGATACGGAATTCAATATATTGGCGAAATGACGGAATCTACTAGAAGATCCGAGGTGGGAGAAGTTGAGTGGCGGCGTCGGTTGTCTCCTTGGCAAAAAGACGAACACTTGGTGGGCTTGGAACGAGACATGAAATTACTCCTTGAAAATGCAATCTTGGACGGAAGGGAAGGTCTAGCTGTTGCAACGGTCGTTGGCATGGGCGGGATCGGAAAGTCAACTCTTGCCAAGAAAGTGTACAACCATTCGGGTGTGGCTAAACGATTTGACATGCGTGCATGGGTTGTGGTTTCCAGTGATTTCATGCCGAGAGACATAATCAAAGAGCTAATGCTACAAGTTTTGGACCCCAAAGAAGACAAGCTGAAGGTGCTAGAGACTATGGAGAAGCTATCGTTGGCAAGCGTCCAACGGATGCTCCACGAACGATTGTGCGGTAAGCGGTATTTCATAGTTCTTGACGACATCTGGGAAAACAAACATTGGGAGTCTTTGGCAAGTGTTTTCCCCGTTGAAGGTACGGCTTCTAACATGTCTATTTTTATGTGTTTTGGAAGAGTTGGGCAAACTGCAACAAACCATCTGTGTTATAGAAAACATGCACCAAATCCCCTATGTGTTAATTTTATTGCGTAGAATCCCATGTGTTTTATTTTATCTTGCATGAAATCCCCATTCAATTAACAATTAACACCATTAACTATATAGGGAATGCCATGCAAGATTTTCATAGCACAAGGGGGTTTGTTGCATGTTATTTAGAATACAAGTGGAATTTATGTAAAATTTATTTATTTATTTAAAAGTTGAATTATTTTTTCGAAATTAAGTCAAGCACATTTATTCAATCTTTGAAAGTCGAATTTTCAAACTGATTAATATAAATATTTATATCAAAACTAAATTCGAATTTTCATATTATTTATATTCTTTGACATACAATACATCCAAGCTAAATTATATAAATATATAACAATTTTGATATTATAAATATATAATTTTGGTTTTTCTAAATACATTGATAAAATAATTTTTTTATTCAAATTTGAAATTTCCAAAATGTTATTTAGTTCCAATTTTGATGCAAATATTTTTTGTAAAAGAAATGGAATCAAATGTTGGAAATCCAAACGAGAGAAAAAAATGTTCTAACATTTAAAATTTTGAATTGGAAACGACAAAATTAAATAAAAAAACTTATTAGAAATTTCATCATTACCATTAGTTTTTTAATTTTTTTTATATTGCAATTGAATATATGTGATTGACTTAATTTTAAAAAATAATTCAATTTTTAAAAATAATTCTTTTTTGCATAAATCCCCCATATATTGAAGAAAACCTGCACCAAACCTCCTTGTGTTATGAAAAACTTGCATGGAACCCCTTAAATAGTTAACGGTATTAATATTTAACGAAATGGGGCATTTCATGCAAGATAAAAGAAAACACAGTAGGGTTTGATGCAGATTTTCCATAACATAGAGGGGTTTTATGCAATTTACCCTGGAAGAGTTATAAGTCATATAAGCTTAAACATAAAAGATAAATAACATGTATATATAATTTTGTTTGAAATACATGTTTAAAGCGAGATGATACAAAAGATGTTGTGTAAAATGTGTGATAAAGTTTGACAACATTAGCTTATGTCGAATGAGCATGTCAACGAATCTCAATGGAATGTTATAACAACTTATCATAGCGAATTATTTTGACTTGGTTTGTGAAAATATTATGCTACCTTTCATTACATCAATTCTACAGGTCAAGGAAGTAGATTGTTGCTTACAAGTCGTGATCGGAACATCACAAAGCATGCTCGTTATATTCATGAGATGAAATTGTTAGACTCTGAACAAAGCTGGAAATTGTTCATGAAGAAGGCATTCATCGACAACAATGAAGGCAAATGTCCGGAAGACTTGTACGATATAGGGAGAGAGATCTTGAGGAAGTGTGATGGTCTGCCATTAGCCATCTCTGTGGTCGGAGGCCTACTGGTTGATAGGAGCCCGTCAAAGAGTAAATGGGAGAACGTTTCGAAAGAAATAAACACTCATTTGGGAACAAAGGAAAGCAGTGTATCAGAAATTCTGGAGTTAAGTTACCGCAATTTGTCTCCAGAACTGAAGTCGTGCTTCTTATGTCTAGGCTTCTTCAAAGAAGATGCCACCATCCGCACAAAAAGATTGATACATGTGTGGGTTGCCAATGGCTTCATCCAACAAGGAAGAAGAGGAGAAAATACAACAATGGAGGAAATAGGTCAAAATTATTTAGATGAGTTGATCAATCGAAATATGGTTCAAGTAAAGGATATGAGTTACGATGAGAGCGTGAAAAATTGTCACATCCATGATCTTCTTCGCGAGCTATCCATACGAAAAGCAAAGGAGGAAATAAGTTTTGAGATCCGAAGGGGGGAAGGGAATTCTCAATCCTTGGATAAACCTCGTCACTGCGCTATTTATTGTAGCACAGAAACGTTCATTTACTCGGCGGCAGGTAAAAATAAGTATGTTCGCTCTGTTTTCGTCCATGGATATGACAATCGTACTGATGTTAAACCATCTTATTTGAAAAGTTTTGAACTTCTAAAGATCCTTGATTTTGAAAATTTTATGTTGTACGAGTTGCCTGATACAATTGGTGAACTGACTGGATTAAGGTACTTGGGATTAAGAAATTCACGCATACCGGAGCTCCCACGCTCGTTGGGTCGCCTTAAAAAACTTGAGGTTCTCGATGTAGCGAAATATAATACAAATGTGCCAAATGTTATATGGAAAATGGATACCCTGCGTCATCTTTACATGTATCATTTTGATTATACGAGGACGCCTATAAGACTAGATACCCTAAAGAATCTTCACACACTGTCCTACATTCGGACGGATCATGTTGATCCCAAGCACCTAACACAACTTGCAAGTCTTCGGACATTGGGCATAGTTATCCGTTCGTCTGATTACGAATTCAGCACACTTTGTAGCTCACTGAAGAATCTTGTTTGTCTAAAAGTAAGAAACATAAACATGTACCGGATAAGCATGGACGTTCTTGGTACTATGTGCAATCTCACTACACTTAAACTGGTAGGTGGACTTACCAAGTTACCTGATTTACCTCCGAATCTTTCTTACTTGACCTTGATATATGCTGGTCTCCTTCACGACCCAATGCCAGTGCTGGAGAAGCTACCAAAGTTATTGGCGCTGAAATTGGATCGTGCATATTATAAAGGTCGAAAAATGGAGGTATCAGAGAAAGGATTTCCGAGGCTTAAGGTCCTCATTCTTCGTGAAATGTGGTATCTGGAGACTATACAAGTTAGAAATGAAGGTGGAATGCAGGAGCTCAAACGATTGGAAATATACAAATGTTCGAATCTTGTGAAAAAACTCCCAGAAAAGCTGAGATTAATCACAATATTGCTCGAAAAGTAGAAGAACATGGATGGTGACAAGCATAGAAATGAGTTTGAAAATTTGTTCATTGTTCGATTATTTGTCTTTCTTTTTATATTCAAACCATTGTACCGAAAATTCAAAAAAATAAAATAAAAATTGGGGTGTGTGTGTGTTGTGGGGGGGGGGGGGGGGGGGTGGAATCCCCTCACTAGCTTGCATTGGAAAATTGTTGATTGTTCAATTATTTGTCTTTCTTTTTTATATCCAAACCATTGTACTCAAAAAAAAAAAGGAAATTTGGAGGTGGAATGTTTGTGCTCAAACGATTGGAAATCTTTAAATGCTTGTGCATGAAACAACTCCCGGAAAAGCTGAGATTAATGGCCACCGTTGTCAACAAGTAGGAAGTTTTATACAGATTTTGGTTCTCTACATATATCCTACATCGAAGAAGATTATGTAAATATCAAGCACTTAACACAGGTTACTAATTTTCGGACATTGGGCCTAAATACCGAATTTTGGGGTTATGTTATGGGAGAGCAAAGTGTGTAGTGCGTTGAAGAATTTTGTTTGTCTCACTCAACTTAATCTACGAGGTATGTTGACCAAGTTGCCTGTTGCCACCGATTTTTCTCCGAATCTTGAGTACTTGATGTTGGCTGATTCCCGTCTGCGTGAAGATCCGATGCTTGTGCTCGAGAAGTTGCCGAAGTTATTGTGCTTGAAAATGGATTTGTCTAAAGAATATAAGAGTCGAGAAAGGAGGTGGGATGTCGAGGCTCGAGCGACTCGAAATCTACAAATGCCCGTGTCGGAAATAGAATTCCGGAAAAGCTGAGATTGATAGCTACTACTATGAATGATTTTGCTCATGTACCTACTCTCTTACCGAGAGTTGATAATAGACTCCACATTTCTATTTGTATACATAATACATTATTGACTATGTTTTGGTTGCATTTTGGGGATAGAATGGAAAATTCACATCTAAAGAGAAAACAAACGAAGATTAAAAAACTAAATGGCAAAGAATACTTACTAACAAACGAAGACAAGGCAGCATCTTCTCCCATCTCTACGAAAATTTCTTCGTCACCGTTTCTGCAAATGAATCCAAATACAAGTACCAATCGACCTCAGAACAAAAACATGACCTAAAAGGAAAACAGACCCCATAAACACTACTGTCAAATGAAACCGATTAATACGAAGCTAAATACCCGAACAACTGAGTCAGTTAAGCTTCAAAATAAAATCAGGAATCAATTAAAAGAACTAATTGCATTTTTTTATCTTCTCCGGTGAAATGAGTAAAATATATAGCAGTTAAATCGAGTGAAAATAAATATTCAAGGAGGATACAGAGAAGGATACATATGAATGGATAAATTGCAAACACCACCAAGACTGCTTGCTGCCATATTTGTCGAACAAACAAAACCAAAGAACCGAGCGCTTAATAAAAAAGTTAACCTGCAGAGTAAAATAAATTGGGAATACTGAAGATAACGAAAAAAAATTACCATATTTGTCGACAAACGATTCGTCACCAAACTCAGAAATCCTCACGAGAATCATGAGAGACTGTAGGATCATATATATCCTCAATCTCGTCTAGTTCGTATCGGGATTTACTACTCCTCTCTGTTCTGCTTCTCCTTCTATTCGCATGCCTTCCATCATCGTCATCTCTCTCCCGATAAGAACTGTCTTTTCTTCGTTTTCCTCTGTTTTCATACTCCCGATTATCTTCTTTTTTCTCTCTCTTACTACGACTACTACTACTAGCTCTCTCATGTTCATCTCTCTCTCTTTTATGATACTTTCGCTCGTTCGACTTGCTTCTTCTTCGGTGCGATTTCGGGGAATAATCCTCTGCAAAGGTCTCTTTGCGACTAGTTTGTCTTTTATCAAGATCTTGATGCCTATGATCCCGATTTGAATCTTTTTTTGGCTGGTGGATGTCATCCCCAAAATCTTCTGAATCGACCGATTTGCCTCTTTTCTCTGCAGGTAACTTAGAATTTCTATTCAAATTTTCAGATGCCAAAGATTCTGTCTTCTTCACAGCATTTGACATGTCACCGATCCCTCCGGCTAGCTTGATTTCCTCCATATATTCCTCTATAATGCCCCTCATCACCTTTAAGGCAAAAGGAGAAAATAAAGTCGAGAACAAAGATCAGGTTTAGAATCAGATTTAAGGTTTCGTTAATTGTTAGGATGGGCTACCAAAGCGAAAACGATTGATTCAGCAAGCAAAGAAACAAACTCTTTTATTAAGTTTCAAAGTCACGGTGACATCTGTATACAATACAATGTAACAATACATACATATATATATATAAAGAAGAAACACAAAATCTGAAACATAGAAACCTTACCTCTAAAGTATTACGTTTCAATTTCTTGCCACGGTATGACATCCTTCGACGTTTGTAATCTCTTTCCTCAGCTAGTAACTCCTCCTTTGTCTTTGTTTTGTTGGTGTCCTAAATGATCACAACGATAATTTATGTATAGAAAAAAGCGACCAAAGAAAAATGAAAATTAAATAAATAACCTCTCATCTGCACGCGGTGGACTTTATAGAATTTACCTGATTGTTTGATCTCTGCCAAAGAAACCCATCATGGTCAATTATAGGTCGATAGTCGGGACGTTTTTGTCGTTCCTCGTCAGCTATTTTGGACACATAAGCATGCTCCATATTGCTGTATCAAAAAATACCCACAAATTATGCCTCCATCTCAGAAACCACGTCTTATCTTAAAATGCAAACAACGAAGCACAACAAGCAAAGGTGCATTGACTAAACATCCTAAGCATATGGAGATTAATAATTATCGGTTAGCCAATATTTAATAAATAAATTCGAAATAAATGGACAATACCGTTGGTATGCAGACAGTGGTCGTGAATTACGACAATTCTTGATTTTCTCTTCAATCAATAATCTCTCGTGCAATGCTGCCACAGCTGCAGCAACTTCGGATATAAAAATCACACTCTGACCAACTGCTTCAACTTTTGTATACTCTCTCTCGTCTCGTTTAGGGTCACTAAATGACACAATACTTTGTACCTGCTCTTCGACCCGAACATCTACTTTCTCAAAATCACTAGAGTCGGCATCTTTTTGTTCCAAAGGAAACAATGACGCGTGCAGAGCAAATTCGACTATGCATTCTTTTAACACATCAACCGCGAGAAACTTCCCATTTATTTCACCATACAATACACCGAACTGCAAAGCTAACCACGTCATCGCTTTCAATAAAATTGGGCACTCGAAGCTCTGATTGCTCAATCCCGGAAAAGAATTATCCTCCATTTCATGTTCTCCATCGCTAAACATTGAACCGGATAACGCGAAAGCTTCCTTAACAATCGCCTTCAAACACAATCTAACCAACAAAACGATATGATTCCTCATGGCAAAATCAATGATTACACCGTATCTAGGTGAAGCAGCAACTATCCAGTCATACAAATGCAGCAAATTGCAGTCTCTCAACCCTAGAATTGCGCGCAATATTCTCGAAGAGTACGAAGCAGGGATACCACGACCCCACGCTTCGGTTTCACTCCGAATAGCCCAAATCTCCGACGGAAGAAACCTAATTAAATTCACTGAAAACCTCATAGCTTCTTTCTCAGATTGCTCTTTGTAGAAGTCGCAACATTCAGTATATAAAACCCTAGGTAAATTGAGCAATGATGGGGGTCGAATTGAAGGGGTGACAGGGCCAGGACAACTTCGGTAAAAGAAATTGTTCGTAGGGGCATTATAGTCAACGTAGTTCTGAAGAGAGACGGAGAGGTCGGAGGAGGTGGTGATGGGGAGGGAAGGTAGGTCGGCGGCGCGTGTAGTGGACGAGGAGTGGAGAGTGAGCGGGTATTGGAAAGTGTGATGTAGGGAGACGGAGGAAGGGCAATTGAGGTAGTGAGAGAAGAGAGATGAAGGAGGGAGACGGTGGTTAGGGTTGAAAGGGCAGGGGAGGAAGGGAGGAGAATCTGCGGCGGCGGAGATGGGGGCGGGGAGAGAATTGAGGGTGATGGTGGAGAGATGGAGAAGAGAGGAGAGACTAGAGAGGGCGGTGGGAAGGGAGGGTGACGCCTGCGGTGGATTTTGGTGGTGAGATGAGAGGAAAGTCGCAGGGGACGGCGGCGGCGGAAGTAGCGGCGGCGGTGGTGGTGGTGGCGGTGGCGGAGGATTCATGTCGGAGGTACGAATTAGAAGTGTGAGAGCGATTAGCTCATCTCCGATTGTATATAATTTATGTTTAATTAATTCGTTGGTTATTTCTACCTATTTAATTATGTTTTTAAATAGTTTTAATACTGTACATATATAATATAAAACGAACAAATAATTATTTAATTTGGTAGTTAAATCTTAATTAATCACACCAATTAAATAAGGGTGAATTGCGTTTTGCACCCAGAACTAATAGTATTTGTCATTTGCCACCCTAACATCTTAAAATTGGCAAAGCCCACCCTTAAAATATGCATCACATTGCAAAATGCACCCTACCTCAATTACTTGAGATATTTTAGCCAAAAAGAATCAATATGTCGCGATATTTTACACTTTGAAGGAATTTTTGTTATTCTTTATGTTTTGTTTTCTTACTTAATATTATTTTATTATTTTACTTGTATATATATTTAAAACATAACTGGTGATTTTTTTTAGTATGTTCTACGTCGAAGTAAAAAATGTATATAAAATTTCTAATTGTAATTCAATTTTAATTTTCAAAATAATTCAAAATTTCATATTTCCATAAAATTAATATTTATTAAAAAACTAAAAAAGGAATAATAATTGCAGGACATTAATACTACTTCTAAATGTCTAGTTGATAGAAATTAAATGGATTATTTAGAATGAGGCTTTAAATTGTTATTTTTCAGAAGTTCAAATATCGTGATATATTGATTTTTGGGCTAAAATCTCATAAGAAATTGATGTAGGGTGCATTGTGGCATGAAAAATATAAATTAAGGATGGACTTTGCCAGTTTTGAAAATATGAGGGTGCAAAGCGCCAATTAGGGTTAATTATGGGCTGCAAAACGCAATTCACCCATTAAATAATTATATATTCAGTCCATTTTCAATTGGGCTCCAAATTCAACCCAAATCAAAACTTGGGTTTCAACTTGTTAGCCCAAAACTAAATGGCCCTCTAAGATAGAAGATATAAGGTAGAAACTAGAAAGAAAGACTAATTTCTTTTAATTTGTTTATTATTTAATTATTTTATTTGGTCAAATAATACAATTCAATTAATGCAAAATACAAAATGATATTCACTATGATAAAAAGGTTTATTGCGTAAAGTTAAGAGTTATAGTATTTTAATCAAGTATATGAATTAGTCTAGCTCAAACTCTATATTACACAATTTTGGGTGCGATTATATCAGCACTAATGCACTGGTTCTCATCAGAAAGTCAACTATCGTGAGTCGAGTTTAAGTTCGATAGTATGTAAGATTGAGCTTCTAATCTTAAAATTCGACGGTGTTTGAGTTCGAGCATACCGAGGCTCGACTTATGTACCCCGATTGTCACCCCTAAGTACAACACATAAGATATGATTGTCCACCAAGAAAAATTACAAGAATAAATGGTCTACAAAGTTTGGTAACAAATAACAATAAATACAGCAATAGGAGATGGGAATACACACAACTTCTGACAAAAAAATATACAGTAATAAATAATATTTTGGCAGCATTAATTGGAGTAAAAATATATAAATAATTCTTTATTTGTGTGGAAAATAGATATTTATCTTAATATTATAAAGGATAATCAGCATTAAATATTTATCATTCAGAGTCAATTGTACTAGACGAGCTACTTTATTTTATTTTTTGGAACAATGTGTATTTTCAAATTTCATTAGAAGTAATTTGATTTAATTTACAAAATTAAGGGGGAAATGTGCATTTTTCATAAAAGTTGATCGATGATATTAACGAAATAAATGGATGGAGGGTACATGCCAAACTTTTAATTATAGTAAATTACAATTGCCCCCTAAAATCAAGTCTATTTACAAACAAACCCTCATGTTTTCATAATACATCCGACCCCTTGAAATTTGTAGAAATCTTACATCAACACTCGTTTATAAGAGAGTGAATATAAAAAAATTACAAAGTGCATGGACTGGATGTAATTTCTTAAAAATGCGATGGTTTTTTTTCTAAATAGACTTTACCTCAGGGTGGTAGTTGTAATCATCAAAGTTTAAAGGGAGGTGAACCAAATTATCTTTTTTTTAATTGAATTTACTTAAAACAAAGCTATTTATTTTCCTTTGATATTATATTTTGTTGGTACATATGAATACATTAATATATGATAAGGTATTTGGTTATTTCACACAAATGATGAATTAATTTTACTATTTTGGTGATATCTCAAGGTAAATAAGTAGTAATTTTAATACAAAATCAGACCCGAAACTTTCTGCAATTGATCATTTGGCCCTCACCCCTCTCCCTTTGCCTTACTGAAAATAAAATCTTACCTACTTTTTCAAGTTCGTTTAATTCTTGATATAAATAATAAAGATTGCAAAAATAAAAGGGGCCCTTTTTGTAATGGTACTCTTTTTTTTACATTATATATATTATATTATTTTTATTATTTTATATTATAATTTTATAGCATGGAAATAAAAGGGATGAGTTTGTTACATTGTCTCCCCAGATTAAAAACTTGTGGGCCTTAAAAAAATAAAATAATTAATGAACCGAATAAATTGTTACGGTAGCTGGTTTAAAACCCCACATATTATAAATAAACTTATTATTATTATTATTATTATTATTATTATTATTATTATTATTATTATTATTATTATTATTATTATAATATAGCTGGTTTACTTAGTAATTAATTAAACCTCAAATGATTAATAATAGTTTCTAAATAGTTTATTATATCAATTATAAGTAAATTGCAAATGTGTAACATGTTTCTAATTAAATACTGTAAAATTAACTTAAAATAAGAGTTAATGATTTGAGATTAATTTTAAGATGAATTAATTCAAACAAGCTCAATTGGTTTATTTGAACTCTCATTCGAGATTAATTATTTAAAAAACATAGCAGACAAATTTGGCACAAATTTATGAAACTTTAGAACTATAAATGAGGGTAGTTGAAAATGTTTATGACTGTACAATTTCCTTACACCAACATTTCATTTTATTTTATTTTATATTATTTTATTTTATTTTATTTTATTTTACTATGGAAAGGGGATTTATTTATAAGGTAGCTCAAAATAATACCCCACCACATTTATATTCACTCACATGGTTTTCAATATATATTGCATTTTAAGGTTTTCTTTTAGTTAAAAAACAATATTAACCTTATTAATATTTTCCTTTCATATTATAGTTGAAAAAACAATTGAACTATGTATTTTAACCTTATTAATTAAACCCTTTTTAACTATCTATAATAAATAAGGTTATTTACGAAACTCCCCTCAAGTTTCCATAATCACATCCACCCCTTGCATTTGTAGATTTCTTACATTAACACCCTTTTGTAAGGGTTGGATGTACGAAATATACAAACTTCATGGAGTTGGATGTAATTTCTCAAAAGAATATATTTTTTTGTAATTACACTTTATCTTTACCTTATAATGTATGTAATAAATTTACTAGTTTCACTATATCTAAATATACATCATTACAATCCAAATGGTTGTGTTTTATTTAAATAAAAAAATGTTAGGTGTTTTATAGCCAATTTCAAATATGTCATGTCAAAAATCACCCAATTTTGTTAAGAATATTATTTATTTATTCATTTTTGTAAGCAAACCTAAGACAAAAAAAAAATGGGACTTAAATTCTTGGAAAATCAATTAAAAAACGTGAAATCCCTTTCAAAGTATCATTAAATATGGACCAAAAGCGCTCTTATGAATCGACACTTTTACAGATAAAATCCAACAGATTAGCCAAACGCAGGGCCCTAACTATCTTGATAATGATGGAAAACTCATGTGTAATGTGTTCTATATATAATAATAAAACAAATTGATTTAATGCCCCAATTATTGCAATGATTATGATTGAAATTAATTGGCTTATGAAACATAATATATTAGCTTTATAAACTCTTGGATTGTGTGTGTGTGTGTGTGTGTGTTTATATATATTATTTATTTATTTACTTATTAACATAAAATTTTCCCAAAAGAGTCTAAAAATCTTCCTACTAATTTAGGTCACACTTTGATGTAAATCAATTTGTTTTATGTAAATCAAGAATAGTATTTCGAATTTTCATACACAGAGCAAATTAAATTACGCATAATGCTCGACTTTTTCGTGTAGAAATTACGTATAGTTCTCGAAATTTCGTTGATGCAGGGATTAAATTTTGATTTTAATTTTACATTTTATTCCAACACAATATATCTAATATACAATATAACAACTTGAATAATTAATCCTCTGTTTCAATTTCAAGAATCCCTCTGTTTTTCATTTTATTATTGATAAATTACAACCACCTCCCTGATGTAAAATATAATTATAAAAACCCCCATATGTTTTGAAAATTACATCCAACTCCCTGAAATTTGTAAATTTCTTACATCCACCCCATACAAAAGGGTGTTAATGTAAGAAATCTACAAATGCAAGGGGTGGATGTAATTATGGAAAACAGAGGGGTGTTTTCAGAAATAAACCTTACCTCAAGGGGGTGATTGTAATTTCCCTTTTTATTTATTTATTTCTTATGTGGCCCTATCATAAAAAAATCCCATTTATTGAACCTCCAAAAAATCTTATATATATACAACCCCATCACATATTCAAATCCCTCATCTCACAATTCCAACACACACACACACACAAAAACAAATCTTGCAATTCACAAAAATGGCATCAAGAATTTCTGCATGGCCACTTATTCAAACCCTAATCCTAGTCACATTCGCCTCAATCTCGCCGCAACTAGCCGATGCACGAGCTTTCTTCGTTTTCGGCGACTCGCTCGTCGACAACGGCAACAACAACTACCTAATCACTAGCGCTCGTGCAGATTCCCCTCCTTACGGAATCGACTATCCAACTCATCGCCCCACCGGCCGTTTCTCTAACGGCCTCAACATTCCCGATATCATAAGTACAATTTCAAATTCATTATTATTTCATTATTATTACAAAAATATATATAAATATAAATAATATTTTTTAATTTTTTGAAGGTGAGCAATTGGGAATGGAGCCAACAATGCCATACTTAAGCCCATTTCTAAAGGGTGATAAACTTCTTGTTGGTGCTAATTTTGCTTCTGCTGGAGTTGGAATACTTAATGACACTGGAATCCAGTTTGTATGTCTTAATTAACAATTTAATTAATTGTAATTAATAATTAATTGTTATTTTTTTAATAACTATTAGTGTATTATTATTTTTGGTGTTGTTGCAGTTAAATATTATTAGGATTGGTAAGCAAATAGAGTACTTCCAGCAGTACCAGACACGTGTCGCCGGTCAAATCGGGCCGGACCAAACTCGGGTATTGGTCAACCAAGCGCTCGTGCTTATCACGCTTGGCGGGAACGACTTCGTGAACAACTACTATTTGGTGCCGTTTTCCGCGAGATCCCGACAGTTTTCGCTGCCGGACTACGTTCGGTTCCTCATTTCCGAGTATCGCAAAGTTTTGACGGTAATAATATTTTTTTTTTAAATTCGCTTAATTCCGCTGTCACGATTTTGACGGTAATAAAATTGTAACACGTCGTTGTTCGATTAATAAATGCAGAAGCTGTATGATTTGGGAGCTAGAAGGGTGTTGGTGACCGGAACAGGGCCGTTGGGGTGCGTGCCGGCTGAGCTGGCGCAACGGAGCAGGGGCGGCGAGTGCGCGGTGGAGCTGATGAGGGCGGCGGCGTTGTTCAACCCACAGCTAACTGAAATGATTAGCAGCGTGAACAGTGAAATTGGGGCAGATGTGTTTGTTGCTGCCAATACTTACACTATGCATATGGACTTTGTATCTAATCCTCAAGCCTATGGTAAGTTCATTCACTTATTTTTTTTTGTTTTTATTTAATTATTAAATTGTTAATTAGTATTGTCTAACTCACTTGATTAAATCATATCTAATTATAAAATTTTATTAAAAAAATTCTTTTATGTTCACTTTTTTCGTGGGATTCTGAAGAATTCGACTTTTTTACTAAAATTGTGCCATTCAGGGGCTAAAATGTAGTTTTAGTAAAAAGTCGAATTCTTCGGAATTCTACGATAGCCCCTGAATGGCACAATTTTAGGCATAATTGCTATAGTTGTCACGTGATTTGAAATCCAGGGGCTAAAACCGTAATTTTTACTTAAAAAAAATCATCTATTCCGACTTATGTATTGAAATCTGGAACCTAATTTACACATTCGACAAGACATAAATACTACCATTGTCGTTGTCAAGTGATCTGAAATGACTAAAACCGTATTTTTTAATATAAAAAAAATCATCTATTTCGATTTATGTATCGAAATCTAGAACCTAATTTACACATTTAACAAGACATAAATGCTATCGTTGTCGCGTGATATGAAATTCAGGGGCTAAACCGTAATTTTTTCCCATCGACATTAGTTCATCTATTTCGATTTTGTATCAAAGTCTAGAACCTAATTTACACATTTTACAAAAAATAAATGCCACGCTGTCACATGATCTGAAAATCCAGTGACTAAAACCGTAATTTTTACTAAATAAAAATCGTCTATTCCGATTTTGTATCGAAATCTATAACCTAATTTACGCATTCGACAAGACATAGATGTTATCGTTACCACGTGATCTGAAAATCAGGGGCTAAAATCGTAATTTTGCAGGATTTATTACATCAAAGATAGCATGTTGTGGACAAGGCCCATACAATGGAATTGGGCTTTGTACACCATTGTCCAATTTGTGCCCAAATAGAGATTTGTATGCATTTTGGGACCCATTTCACCCTTCTGAAAGGGCCAATAGAATCATAGTCCAACAGATATTGACCGGTGACAACAAGTACATGAAGCCCATGAATCTCTCCACTATTCTCGCAGTGGACTCGAGGACCTAAAATCGTCATTTCACGTCGACGAATTTTCGTTTCAATAATGATTTGTTTATTTCGATTTTTCTCTAGTAATTGTTGTGATTAATTTGTACGATGATGGCTAGTTTGTGGCGAATTCGATGTTGGTTTTTTTTTTTTTGGGAATAATTGTTGTATCGTAGCACGAAGGGGTTTGTTTAAGGGTGTGTTTGGTCGAGCAAGTTTTGCTAGTTTATGAAAGTTGATTGAGATTTATAACGCGTGTTCGATTTGCGTATTATTGCTTTTATTTATTGGGCTTGCTTGTTATTGGAGATTTATATTGTTGTGATGTGGATTTTTATTTGAATCTCGAAATGGAGAATCGTATAGTGTGAAAAATCACAAAATATAGGGGTCAGTGTAAAATGTAAATAAAAGTTGGGGGATTTTGATAATTACAGATATGAGGGGTGTTTTTTATAATCTAACCTAACTTCAAGAGGGGTTTCGTAATTTACCCTAAACTTATCGAAATATTAATTTATCGAACTAATAATTTAGTAGTTTTTACCGAGTCGGGACCAGCCAAATCTATTATTTAAACAAGGTTATTAATTTATCGAAGTTCCATTGTAGTAAGAAAGAAATGTTGAATTCTATCCCTTTTTTTTTAATAATAATTATTATATAAAACAATTCAGCTCGAACTCCATTTACACCCCTAACTTAAGTCTGAATCCTTCCACCAAAAGAATATTTTTTATCTACACCATTTTTTTCTTTTTCCTCGAAACCTGAAACCCAAAACAACAAAAAATAATAAATAAAAAGGTGAAAAAAACCAAGGACAATAAATTATATTATGAACATAATAATTAAAAGCAACCTCATTTTGACCACGTTGCAAAAAAAAAAAAAAAAAAAAAAAAAGCCAAGAAATTAAATGAGTGAACTCATCAATTTCACAAAAACAACTGTCCAATTTATTACAATAGTAGCTGATTTAATTCACTAGCCCTTTCTTATTACCAAATATTGTCCATTACGCTCTTAAACTCCATCCTATATAAATAGGCACCAAACCCTTCACCATTTTCAACCAAGAAACATAAACACATCTCCAAAATCTTCAAAAAAATATTAATTTTTTTATAGATTTTTTTTTGTGGTAAATCAAGAAAATGATTAATTTAGTGGAGAATTCGAGATTTTATTTGATTTTTGTGTTTGTTTTGGCTTTGGAGTTCAATTATTTGTGCAACCATGTAGAAGGCAAGGCATTTTTCGTGTTTGGAGATTCGTTGGTGGACAACGGCAACAACAATTACTTAGCCACCACCGCCAGAGCGGATGCTCCCCCTTACGGCATCGATTTTCCGACGCACCGCCCCACCGGCCGTTTCTCGAACGGCCTCAACATTCCCGATATTATTAGTAAAGTTTTTCTTCCCTATTCATTAATTTCTCTACTTTCCATTTCAAATTTTAAAATAAAGGTTACCTTTTTACATTTGCAAAGTATGATTCATGCAATGCATGGAAGGATTACACTATTACATATATCTTTAAGGATGCAAAATTACAATTTTGCCCTTTGGTTTTCGATGAATTTCTCCAACGCACACCCACCCGAAACACCCATATTATATATGCATGTATATGAGGAAGATACCTTTGAGGTTCATCATATATATAAATATATATATATATATATATATATATATATATATATATATATATATATATATATATATATATATATATATATATATATATATATATATATATATATAGGTGAAAAAATGGGTTGGGAACCGACAATTCCGTACCTAAGCCGAGAGCTTTCGGGGCAGAAACTACTAGTTGGTGCCAACTTTGCATCAGCTGGAGTTGGTGTTCTTAATGACACAGGAATCCAGTTTGTATGTAGTTTTTTTTTTATTTACTGCAAACCCTAAATCTCTCTCTCTCTCTCTCTCTCTCTCTCTCATTTGATCATTTTATGGTGCTGCAGGTGAACATAATAAGGATATACGAACAGCTGAATTTCTTCAGGCAGTACCAGCAGAGATTGATGAGAGAGATTGGAGCAACTGAGGCTAAAAAACTTGTTAATGAGTCATTAGTGCTAATGACTTTGGGAGGGAATGATTTTGTCAATAATTATTTCTTGGTCCCTTACTCTATTAGGTCTCAACAATATTCCATCCAAGACTATGTGCCCTTTGTCATTTCTGAATACAAGAAAGTCTTGCAGGTACATTAATTATTAATCCAATTTCTTTCCTAAAAAAAATATTTTTTTATTTAATTTTCAATTTTTTTATATATATTTTAATTTAATTTAATTTTCCAAAAAAAAATTTCGGTTCGGAGCATCCTATATATTCATGATGTACATTGATTATAGGGTAGAAAAACCCCTGAACTTAGGCTAAATAACGAAAAACACCTCTACTTATCCGTAATAATAACCAAAACCCCCCCTCTGATTAAATGTTGATCGAGTTTTTTTGACAAAAAATGTGTACAGTCTATTATACCTTCTGTTAAATAGGTGAGAAGTAAAAGAAGATGTCTGGAATTGTGTAAATTCTATTTATTGGAATAAAAAAATCCGTGAAAAATCACATTGTACGGGGTTGGTGTAAGACGGAAACAAACCTCAAGGGTTTTTTAGTAATTACGAATAGGTGGAGTTGGTTTATTATAATATAATCTAAGTTTAGGGGGTTTTTGTTTTTACCCTTAATTATATCTTTATACTTATTTAAATATATACTACATTTTATTAATTTCTTAATCATCAGTTATAATAATAAAATGTATAATTTTAAATGCAGAGACTTTATGAACTCGGGCCTCGGCGAGTAATCGTGACTGGAACGGGGCCGTTAGGGTGTGTGCCTGCAGAATTAGCATTGCATAGTAACAATGGGGAATGTGCAGAACAATTGCAGCTTGCTGCATCACTCTTTAATCCTCAATTGGTTCAAATGATCGATGAACTCAACCAAGATATCGGCACTGATGTTTTCGTTGCAGCTAATACGAACCAGATGCATATGGATTTCATATCCAATCCCGAACAATTCGGTACGTATTTCGATGTATCGCCTCGTTTATTTATTTATTTGGGTGTGCATAATTTGAAATTGCTAGTTGCTAAATCAATTATTTGCATACCTATAAGATTATTATTGTTTATTGTTAATTGCTAATAAATTGTTGGTGCATCAATTTAATTAGTGGGTATATAATGCATGGAATAATGCATATATATCACTAGGGTTAAGGTATTATTCTAAAACATAGACTCTAATGTTTTTTTTTTTTAATTAAGTGTAATTATGAACTCTATTTTACATAATTGTGTACTAAAAGAATATACATAATTAATTAAAAAAATTGAAATACTTTAATGTTTTTATGGGTTAGGTAGCATTTTTTTTTCACACTGTTGCTACCATCGATTACATTAAAGAAAAAAAGTAGTGTAGGATAATTTTAATTTTTTAAATACTTAACTAGTTCATACTTCATATAGTATAGGCCATGTCCCTTATTGAGAGATAGATAAGGAATTATATAATTTGGTTGGTAAAATTAGAAATAATTAATTTTACATTTGTTAAGTATAATCTTAAAAATTCTATAGAATGCAATTAATTTATAATATATTAGTTATTAACTAACATTTTATGTGTATTTTATATGTCTACAGGATTTCAAACCTCGAAGATAGCATGTTGTGGACAAGGCCCGTATAACGGGCTGGGCCTTTGCACCCCGTTTTCGAATCTCTGTCCGAACAGAGATTTGTACGTATTTTGGGATGCATTTCATCCATCCGAGAGGGCAAATAGAATGATTGTCGATCAAATATTTGGTGGATCCACTACTTATATGCATCCAATGAACCTCTCTACCATCGTGACTTTGGATTCAAGGGCATAAAGGGAAAAAAGAAGGGGTCGATTTTTAGAAGCTATTTTTCGAAGCATGAATATTGTAAAATTATTATTCATGCTCCGAAAAATAGTTTTGACGGACTTTATTTATGTTTTTCTTTCTAAGTGTACTTTAATCACACCCCCGTACTTTTTAATTGTATTATTATTATTATTTTTCAATATGTTACCTAGTTGTAATTGTTGGAATAAACTTGAATAAATCCCATGGAACCGTCATGTCGAATCATCAAGAATATTGGGCATAAACATAAATCGGAAGCGTACCTTACTCCGGTGGAATTGATATGAACAATCATGGATCTTCCAGATCATCATGTACATCCGGACCCGAGAACCCTTTAGACTTCTCTTCGTTTTCTTTATGTCGATGGAATACATAGAGAATGGAATTCGTACATGTGATCCGGGGACCATGACCAATATATATAGATAACCTAATGGGCTATCTTGTGTAATTTTATTTTAGCCCATCACTATAATAAAATTACCTTAATGTCTCTACACATTAAAGGCCCACACCCTATTAGACACATTAAAGCCCAATCCAGATAAACTTTAGTCGATCACTTTAACGGGCTTAATTTTACGTGACAGTCTTGCAACACATAATATTTCACATATAAGTCCAACGTTGGATTAATGTTCCAACAATCTCCCACTTGGACTATATGTGTAACTTTATAATTATAGGTTGCATAAATAAATTTTGAGCTCAACTTTGCTGTCATTACCGAAGTGTGTCTATAACCAATCTCGTCCATCAATCATGCTAACACTGAATCAAAGGGGCCTTCGTTCACATTAGTCGTAACGGGACCCAACAATGGTCACAATATCAACACAATTGAATGACATAGATTATGATGTGGATGTGTAGCATGGAAATGTCATGCAATGTGACCTTAACATACCTATTTCCAATTGGTCCTCCTTAACGAGATCAAACCTTAACAATCAGAGTGTGAATAAACCAAAACCTTATTTCTGCAGAAATTATCCTAAGAGTATCCTTAATCCGAATTAACCCAAACATTGTGTCTACACCAAAAGAATACATTTATTATAAACTCCCACTAAAACCGAATATCCTTAATTAATATGACACCCATACGAGCAATATGCTCATGAGACCTTTTTGGGTGACATCCTTAGTGTGCACACATAATGGAGTTTATATCGACGTATTCTATAGACACCTATCCACTCTGTATATTACAAAAATAAGATGCTTTTATAAACTGATTACCGTAGTTAAAAAAGAGTTTTGGGTGTTGGCTAAACACTCGTACTTAAATTCTCTTTTAATTATGTATACATTAAATGGATCTACAATGTACAAGCATCATACAAACTCGAAATCAAAAAACCAAATGATCTCCCAAATGAACTGATTTCGATAAATGAGCATAAATGACCTTATGTTCTCTATAATTACTGTATAATCCTTTTGTTTCTATTCAAAGATCTACTTTAAAGAATTATTTAAATATCTACCTAACTTTATGTACGATTTAGCCGAATGCGTACATACCGAATATGCATATAATTTTCCAAAGCTGACAGCATAGGGAACCTTTTGCATTCTTCTTTTACCGTAAGATCTTTATTGGGCATTGAGTGAGATGAGTATGATTATCTTCCACGTATCACATGGTATATACAAACATTAACTTTATTTACCTCACAAATATGAGATAATCATTATGAGTTGTAACACCGTTTAGGGAATCCTAAAACTCTAGAACAGAGTGTATTGAGTGAAACTCTAGGTGATTAGACTTTAGTTATAACTTTTTCAACATTGCCTATTGAAATTCAAATGGTCTCAAATATACATTTGTGACCAAATGATTTCACACTTTTGACAATTGATAAGATCCAAATGTCATTATCATCTTAAGTTTAACTCAATTTAATATTGTATTCTTTTAAGGTTGTTGAGTTTACCTTTAAGGAGCAATTCCCTTTATGTGGGAGAAGTATTTTTTATTATTGTCTATAGCAACAAAATGAGAAAAATAAATTCTCTCTTTCATACAACAATGAGTATAACCCTTTCTCCCCCCTTAAACTCAATATCCTTAAGAGATTTTATACATCCCTCTTAAAAAAAAAAGAAACATATGTTGCAGTCTTTAGTGCTTCTCTTAAGATTAGAAGCAAAACCTTACTTGTCATTTGACATACTTTGGAGACTCATATCTTTAAATAACAGATAAAGCGGACATGATTCTGTTACTTTTGGAAAATCTATTATGATGTCTCTACTGCAACAATGTGTCATTCTATGGGATAGTAGCTAACTGAGTACTTTTAGTCTTTTCTCGTTTATGTCATTTTATTCCTACACATAGCCAAATATGAACTGGCAAAGAATTCATTTATCCTTTAGGTTTTGAAACAAACCTTATGTTGACTATAGATGTAGAAAGAAAAATCAAACCATATGCACTTTAAAGTTAATAAATCGTAACTTTAGTGCTTAAGCCGAAAGTGAGATTAAACTAATACTGAATGTACTCCTTTATATTTCTTTTCTCTTATTAATTATGAAACAAGATTAGTCACAACCATACTTGATTCAAACTTGTCATTTTAATAATAAAACGTATCAAAAGAGTGCCTTAAGAAACATTCTAGTACTTGCCCTATCAATCTTGATGCCCCTAAAGATTTCTTAAATGGTGCACTAAATGATCTTAATACTTATAATTAGAACGATCATATTCTTTAAGTCCCTTTTACCTTAACCTTAAGGAAACTTTTAATTCCGAAGTAACTAGTTGGTCGTTCTATTTAAAAGGTAAAATCAAGATCTATGCACCCTAAATAATAAGTAAATTGTGCTATAAAGCACAAGAACCAAAATTAACATTGACAGAGAATACAGAAGCGGAAGCATGAACTAAATAGAGAACATAAACAAGAAGACATACTCACAACTACTATTATGTCATAAAAATATCAAATAGAATCTATGTATGTATGACATAATTAAACGGAAATGGGTTCATTTATCATAAAATACCTAGCCCAATGTTAACATGAAGTTATGGACGACTCGTTAACCTTTTAAGCGGCAACTTTTTATTATATATCAACCACAAATTCAAATAAAGGTATATTCCATCTCAAGATATCGGGCACTCCATTAATAACTTATCTTTGGACAATGATATTAACTTGCAAGTGATATCTTGGTGTAGTAATCAAACACTGACAATAAGAGCACATCAAATAATAATTCTACCTTAGGGCCAAACTATTATTCACATGCAAAACACCAAATAATCGCCACGCGTTTACCACCACAATGTGCACATGCAATTCTGCAAAGTATTGGCCTTCCTTAGGGCCGACACAATACCCACATTATTACATGCACAAAACCTTTTGTATTTCAAAATAAATTAAGTTTCACAGGAGAGCTCACTTGGGCGAGATGCTGCTTCTCTTAATTCATATCAAAATACATAAACCAAACCAATATTTGAATTTTAACTGAATTTAAGCCTTTAGACTTTCTCAAACAATCTTTAGTCAGAGGCCTAATTAAATTACCTTATGAACCCAAATCCCACGTTATTTAGATTTAAAGTCAAAATAAAGTCGACTAGAAATCTTCATTTTATAACCCAAAGATGAGCCTAAATCATAAATCGTAAAATTCATATTTATTTGAATTTGAGCTTAAAGTAAAAAAAAATGAGCTCACAAATTCAACCTTATTAGATTTAAAGCCAACAATAAATTTCTGACAAATAAATCTAAATTCTTATGAATTTTCACAAAACAATGAAGACTCAAATTTATAATAAAGTCACGAGTCTACGTGCCAAATATCGATTGGGTCAAAGCTTATTGAGTTATACATGATAACTCATACATATATTGACAAACAAACGAAACTTTAATGAGTCAAAACCAATTGAATTATAATAATTCATATCCATAATTTGACTAATTAATCCAAAAAGACTCGAACTTTAGAAATCTGAAATTCCCCAAAATAAAATCCCTCAGGAAACTAAATTGAAATTCACACTGAATCTCACTTTATTGACCAAACAAGTTCTTAAAGAGAATTAAAAATAATTCACTTATTCGTTTGATTCTTCATAAAACATAAATTTCAAGTGGCCCCAAAACCTTTTGTAAAACTTAAAATCAATTTTTCATTACTTAAAAAAAAATTGCATTTGCCCCAAATTCAGAAAATCCAAAAAAAAAACTTGAAGGACTGAATAAAATTTTGAAAGAAAAGCCTTTGAGTGAAAAGGGACCTAAGATTCAGAAATACTTAATTTTGGGGGTTAAACTGTATTTTCTGAATGTATATCACTGTTTTGAGAGAGACTTGAAAAATGGGGACTGAAATGCAATTTTCGAAAGCTTGAGGCTGTAATACGGATTTTTCATTATTTCAAATCGACCCCGGCTCAAAATCAGGAATAACCAAAATATGGGCCATATTGAAATAATGCTAAATATCTCAAACTTAAATTAGGGGACCAAATTTGAAATTACAAGAACCCTAAATCTGGGGTTAAATTGTAATTTCCCAAAATTCCATTCTACCCAATTTTCTTTCGTCAGACCCGCCGCCACCACCATGACTGTAACCTAAGCAACACCACCGCCGAAAACACACAACTCACAGTTTCTCTCCGTCGGCCACTAAAGATCCCTTATTAGCGAATCCCCGCCGCCAAGAATTGCGAAGGACAATGACTTGCGTTCGCTATATTGGCCGCTGGAAACGGGAAGAAGATGGTGGTGTGAGTCATGGTTGTCGGTGGAACCATAGGGTGCCGAAGGATGGCTTGGCCGGAAAACCAAATCAGCCGCCATTGATTTACCATTGCGAATTGGAATTTCAGATTTTGCCGTAAAACTTAATTCTTCAATCTTAATTCAATTCATGAGAATTGACTGAACCATAAAAATTTATATCCAAAACGGAATCAATCAATAACAATAGAACAATTTCAAATAATTGAATTGTATATCAGATTGGGATTCGGATAAGTAGAGGAAAAACCAGACATGCAATCCAATAATTAAATCTTATTTCAGATTCAATATTAGCCCTAATTTCAGAATTTAATGTCTGACAAAATTTTTTTTTTTTTTTTTTTTTACATCTTAATCAGGATTACAGAACACAATTATGGATTCAGATTTCGATAGCAATTTACATAATCAAATTCATAATATCATATCTCATTTAACACCTAAATCCCCGATGATTCAAACATGGTCGGCTCTGATACCACTTGTTGGAATAAACTTGAATAAATCCCATGGAACCGTCATGTCGAATCATCAAGAATATTGGGCATAAACATAAATCGGAAGTGTACCTTACTCCGGTGGAATTGATATGAACAATCATGGATCTTCCAGATCATCATGTACATCCGGACCCGAGAACCCTTTAGACTTCTCTTCGTTTTCTTTATGTCGATGGAATACATAGAGAATGGAATTCGTACATGTGATCCGGGGACCATGACCAATATATATAGATAACCTAATGGGCTATCTTGTGTAATTTTATTTTAGCCCATCACTATAATAAAATTACTTTAATGTCTCTACACATTAAAGGCCCACACCCTATTAGACACATTAAAGCCCAATCCAGATAAACTTTAGTCGATCACTTTAACGGGCTTAATTTTACGTGACAGTCTTGCAACACATAATATTTCACATATAAGTCCAACGTTGGATTAATGTTCCAACAGTAATTTGATGGTAGTACTGTGTTTGGATGTGTTCATGATTTAATTATTTAAAATGTTTAGCATATTTATAGTTTCAACTATATATACAAGTTTGAAGTATTACAAATGATGATGCAATATCCAAATCCTACTTACACATTCGTTGGAAAAACTTATCTATCGCTTGATTTAGGGCAAACAAAGACGAAAAAGACGACTAACCAATAATAAAGAGAGAGAGCGAGAGAAAGTTTAGTATTGATTGTTAAAATGTAGCCCTAATCGGATTGTTACATTTGTATATACCAATAATTTGACCCGTACGATACACAATATTTAAATAAAATCATGCCGAATAAAATTCAATAATATATATTTTTTGTAGGGACCAATACGTAATATATTTTTAAAAAATACACATAAAAAACACAATATTCAAATGTAAAAGGTTATTGGGTACGGGCTAGGGGTGTGGATGAGCCGAGCTCGCTTGTTGTTTTGACAGGCTTAAACTCGAGCTCGTCGAGTTTTTTTTTGTTTTGGGCTCAAGCTCAAACTCATTTTCAGAAAGCCCGGCTCATCGAGCTCACGAGGCAGCTCAGCTCGTCTAGCACCCCTATTGCGGGCCCTTGCCTCCACTATTCTCAGCCGGTGATGAGGTTCATCTTGTACCATGGTTACTAACACAAGGCCCATATTTCAAGTGAGAATGTTTGGCCCAATAAGATAAATTAAACGATTGACCCGACCCGTATACCCGTTACTTGAATTATTAAATAAATTCAAACCCCCTCTCCCCCATTTCATTTTCCTTAAACCCCCTCGAACTGTAAAAACCACCCACCCACCCCACCCCCCTTATCCACTCTCATTTCTCCATTTCCCCCAGTAAAAATGGCGTCCTCCCTGCTAACGTACGCCCCATTCTCTCTTTCCTTTGTGTCCGTCTCCGCTCCTCGGAACTCCGTCGCTCACGCGGCCGCACAATTCGCCTCAATCTCCAGTCCTCAGAGAAAATCGCGCCGGAAAAAGCAACAGAACCAGCCGAACGACTTGAAATCTTCCGACGATAGTGGATATTCCGGAGGCTCGGATGGTAATTTCACGCCGTCCAGCGCCGAGAAGCTCCTGAGGCTCGTGTTCATGGAGGAGCTGATGGAGCGCGCCAGAAGCGGCAGTGTTTTGGGAGTTTCTGACGTCATTTACGATATGATTGCTGCGGGGCTCACCCCTGGACCACGGTCGTTTCACGGCCTCGTTGTGTCGCACGTCCTCAATCGAGACGCAGAAGGCGCGGTACGATTTTCCCCCCTCCCAGAATTGTAGAATGCTTGAATTTGAATTTTGGAGCTTATATTTTTTAATTGTATACGATTGAGGTCTGCCTATTACAGTCTGCAAATGGGATTAGGGTCTGCATTAGCAGTTATACCTTCAGTACGCGGCTTCTAGTGAAAGAATTGCTAGTTACTGATGAGCCTTACTTGACTTCAACTTGGCCAGTACATTTTACAATAATACTTATAATTTTGATGAAGACATTTAAATGATTAAATTTGACTTAGAGCTCAAGTCAGGACTTACTAAAGCCTGCTCGACTCATCTTGAACGTCTACCTGTTGCACTTACGGCCTCCAATATTGGCAATAATGCATTTGCATTGATAATAACAAGAGACCTAGTGGGTTGGTGTTAATCTTCTCAATCTATTTATATCTTCTTCTACTGTCATGCATAGTGTGTTCTTACCTATAGTTTATTTCAGATAAGAGTTTATCTGTGTTTAAGGGCCCGGAGTCTCATCTAAACACGTAAAACTCCCAATCTCCATGATTGACACAATTTTTTGTTGTAAAATTTTACTTTCAATTTGGGCACCTTAGTACAACCTTAGAGCATATCCTAGGTTAACTTTGTAGAGATAGCCGCTGTGTAAAAGTCAGTTTTACCCTTTCAAACATGTTCACCTATGATATCGATCTTGATCGATGTACAAGGGGTTTTAAAATGTTAATAACTTGCTTTATGTTCCTAAGGGAACCTCAGTTATGTATTTTCTCATTTTGCAGTACCTGTAATTTTATCGAGGGTATTGGTCTGTTGTTATTATTATTATATCATAGTGGAATAATAGATCTTGTCATTTTTTTAGTAGAATTGAGTGACTTATTAAAACCCATGCATGACAGATGCACGCTCTTAGAAGGCAACTGAGTGAGGGTATTCGGCCTCTTCACGAGACATTTCTTGCATTAGTTCGTTTATTTGGATCAAAAGGTCATGCTACCAGAGGATTAGAAATTCTTGCAGCAATGGAGAAACTCAACTATGACATTCGGCAAGCTTGGCTGCTTCTTATTGGTATAGTGTACAAGCTTGTGGATTGATTAAAAGTTTCTTGAAATTTAAGTTTGATTCTATTTAACCGTTCTTGTTCTTGCTCATCAGAGGAGCTTGTGAAAAGTAGTCATTTGGAAGATGCCAACAGAGTTTTTCTGAAAGGTGCTGAGGGCGGCCTTAGAGCTACGGATGAGCTTTACGATCTTCTAATTGAGGAGGATTGTAAAGTGGGGGACCACTCAAATGCATTGACCATAGCTTATGAAATGGAGGCAGCTGGTAGAATGGCAACTACATCTCATTTCAATTGCCTCTTGAGTTGCCAGGTACCGATCTTCCTGTTAATATGCATTTGGAGCAGCTTTTACACATAGTGGACACAGTGTTTTTCGAAGTTTAATTGCGTTAATAAATAATAACTTAGTTTGAACAAAACTGGTGAAATGGAAACCATTATGCGACTCTCAAAACCAAACTTATTGGTTTCTGTTGTAGGTCTAGATTTTATTAACTTACTTGTGGAATTCCTGAAATTGTGGCTACTGTTGTAGGCTACTTGTGGAATTCCTGAAATTGCTTTTTCCACCTTTGAGAACATGGAATATGGAGAAGGTTTGTTCTTGCTTTTCATTCTTTAACCTCATTGTAAATTATTTCTCATGTAATTTCAGTTATTTGTTATCATACATTGGCTTCATAAGTTCATACCTCCCCACACTTCAAAAAAGTTTTTGGATGAGTTTTGTGTTGGGACATAAATTAGGTAGGTTCGATGTAATTAGATTTCAGGAAATATTTGATTTTCTTCACATTATGCAATCAAGAAAGGGCATACAAACTACAATGTGCACTTGATTCTGTATTAAAACTGTGATACTAAAATTTGGTGCATATCAACGGAATCCCAAATCAACTTTTATCGTGAAACTGAGACTAAGATGGAGTTATCTGCATTAAACACCATTATGGTGCTATATGTAATGATTCATTTAACTTAAATCACTACTCATTTTGTTCCATGTACTACACAACAAATTATACACCTTAGGATGTTGAATGTTTTAGAAGTTTCCTTATGATTGCTGTTGGTTGTTATAGCTTTTATGAAACCTGATACGGAGTCATACAATTGGGTGATCCAAGCATTTACAAGAGCTGAGTCATATGACAGGTAAACAATCTCTACCTGATGGTTATTATGCTATCATAGAAACTGTATAGTGTACGATGGTAATGAAAACTACCTTAGTGGCCTGTGGCTCAATAGCAATAGTGATTGGTATTCTCATGGACTCGGAGTTTCTGTTGATTGTCTCATTGACCAACTTACCAACACCTGATCTTGACAGACAAAAATGTCTGATCTTTGAAAAACAGAGACTCGCGTGGAAGTTGGTTATTTGGGTCGGTGGTCTACATTCCACAGTTTCGATTTACTTTGTTTGTTTTGAAAAATCATTGTGCTTTATCATTGCTCTTGGAGTAGTAATTGCCATGCCGAGACTAGTTCTTAAAATATTTATATCGTCGTTTGAGTTCCTTCATATTTACTTCTTAATTGTATTAAAGGTGTTAAAAATTCAATGTGATAATCTAGGGTTCAAGATGTCGCTGAGTTACTTGGAATGATGGTTGAAGATTACAAGCGCTTGCAACCAAATGTGAGAACCTACGCGTAAGAATTTTAAGAATTTTTCTTCTTTTAGATTTCATTGCGAAAATTTAAGTTTTCTTGCTTTAGTGATTTAACTGTTGTTTGTTCAGCTTGATTTTTGAAACCTACCAATGAGAGTAAATGATTAAGTTTCAGGCAGTCCTTTTATGTTACTTGAGCTTATGCGTCTATATGTTTATAAATTTGTCACATATATACAAAATGATTGTCCATATGAAAATCAGTGGGTAGAGCTTCTGATAATTTGACTTGTAGTCTTCTTTTTTAGGCTGTTGGTGGAGTGCTTTACAAAGTATTGTGTCACAAAAGAAGCCATTCGACACTTTCGCGGACTCAAAAACTTTGAAGGCGGGACAGTACTTTTACATAATGACGGACAACATGGAGATCCACTTTCTTTATATCTCCGTGCATTGTGCAGAGAAGGTCCGTGCTCTCCTTTTTATTAATAATAATTGATCCAGATAAGCAGCTACAAGATGTTTGGTCATGTCCCTTCTGCTACTGCTTTCTAACTTAGAGTTACATGTGAAATCAGGAAGAATTGTTGAGTTAATAGATGCTCTTGAAACCATGGAAAGAGACAACCAACAAATTCCAGCAAGAGCAATGATCTTGAGCAGGAAATATCGGACACTAGTTAGCTCGTGGATTGAACCTTTGCAAGAAGAAGCTGAACTTGGGCATGAAGTTGATTACGTTGCCAGGTTTAATTCTTTCAAAGTATAATAGCATCATAAGATAGCCATTTTTATAGCCGTCCCTTCTTTTGGACACACCGTTCATATGTGATATAACCCATGTTTAAATCATGAGTGAATGAACTTCTATCTTGTGCTATTCTCTCCTTGACTAATGTATTTCTTGTTTCAATTATATCTGACTGCAATAAGATAGCTTTCACTAAGAATAGTTCCAATCTCCGATTATATTATTTCTGTTGACCATCCTTTGGTTGGATCACAGGTTCATTGCAGAAGGTGGACTTACCGGTGAACGCAAGCGATGGGTCCCACGCAGAGGAAAAACTCCTCTAGATCCTGATGCTGATGGTTTCATATACAACAGTCCCATGGAAAACTCTTTCAAACAACGGTGTCTTGAAGAATGGAGAATACATCATCGGAAACTTCTGAGAACCTTATGGAACGAAGGACCTGCTATATTAGGAAATGTTTCCGAGTCTGACTACAATAGAGTTGTGGAGAGATTGAAGAAAATCATTAAAGGTCCTGAACAAAGTGCTTTGAAACCAAAAGCTGCTAGTAAAATGGTAGTATCGGAGCTGAAGGAAGAGCTTGAAGCCCAAGGTTTGCCGACTGATGGCACTAGAAATGTACTCTACCAGCGTGTGCAGAAAGCAAGGAGAATAAATCGTTCGAGAGGTCGCCCTCTGTGGGTCCCCCCCGTGGAAGAAGAAGAAGAAGAGGTGAATCTTTAATATCAGATAAATCACATATACTGTTTTCTCTAGTCCAAATCTTCATTTTATTCAATATTTGCTTCTTTCCGTTAGAGCAACTCCAACCCAAAAGTATCAAATGAGTTATCATATATTCTATTTTGATACCTATATAAATTTATTTGCTCCAACCATAGACATGAAATGGTTGTTAATTGAAAAAAATGAAGTGGTTATATATTTAATTGCCACATGTTATTTTCTAAATGGATATTTAGGTGGTTAAATTTGTAACTAACATTTGATATTTCTTTCTCGTGGATGCATTTTTGCATCCCAATTCCCAAGAGACGGAGCATCAGAATACAACTTCCATTTGATATCTCCATTGGAGTGTCTAGTTTTTTACTTTAGCTGTTATATGCTTCTCTAGTCATATAGTTATCTAACTGTTCCCGTTATGTGTACATCTAAATGCTCTATGGTTCATCGCTAATTGATTTTTTTTTTCATTTTTTGTCTTATAGGTTGATGAAGAGTTGGATGAGTTAATTTCACGGATTAAGTTGGAAGAGGGCAATACAGAGTTTTGGAGGCGTCGTTTTCTTGGAGAGGGCCTGACTGAAAATCATAACAAGCCATTAGAAGTCGAAGATTATGACGTTCTTGATGTCACAGATGATGCTGATGTTGGTGATGATGTTGGTGATGATGTTGCGAAAGAGGGTGAAGATGACGAGGTTGATGAGGAGGATGAGGAAGTGGAACAAACTGAAATCCGAGTGGGTGACAGAGCTAAAGATAAGGAAATCGATACTGCTAAACCTCTTCAAATGATAGGAGTTCAATTGTTGAAAGACTCTGACCAGACTACAAGGTCATCAAGAAAGAAGAGACGATCTTCTCGGGTATCAATGGAGGTAAGGAAATATATATACTAATTTTGATTTGAGAAGCGAATAGATATAGCTGTATATAATGCTGTAGTTTCCTGAGTTTTCAGTGTCAAAAAATATGTTAATTATTCGGTATAAATGAATGCAGGACGATGACGATGATGATTGGTTTCCCGAGGATCTTCAAGAAGCATTTAAGGAATTAAGGGAGAGAAAAGTGTTTGATGTAGAGGATATGTATACGATAGCCGATGCTTGGGGTTGGACATGGGAGAAGGACTTTAAGAACAAAGCTCCTAGAAGATGGTCACAGGAGTGGGAAGTTGAACTCGCTATTAAATTAATGACAAAGGTAATACCATATATCGAAAACCAGTGTTGCTAGATATTTGCCGTTTCTTGATTACTGCGCAACCGGGTTTCTTATTTTCTGAAAATTTCTGGTCTCTCCTTATTACAGATTTAGCTTTCTTCTCGTAGAAAGCAGATAAATAATAAATCCCACCTCTTTCGTTTGGCTTCAGAATTAAGAAAGTTACTGAATAATTAATTTTTTCAGGTAATTGAATTGGGTGGAACACCAACCATTGGTGATTGTGCCGTAGTACTTCGAGCTGCTATACGAGCTCCTATGCCTTCAGCCTTCTTACAAATTTTGCAGACAACTCATCGTCTAGGTTATGTTTTTGGCAGGTGAGCATTGAAATATTTTTCCGTATTGAAATGACTTTTATAAACCTAAAATACATATTCGTTGAACTATCCATCGGCTAATGTTTCTTGGAGCTCTTGCTTTTTTTTTTCTTCTCGATTTTGTGTTGCTAATACATTATATGTTTATGACAGCCCATTGTACGACGAGATAATTAGCCTTTGTCTAGACCTTGGAGAACTCGATGCATCGATTGCCATTGTAGCGGATTTGGAGACGAGTGGAATCAAAGTCCCCGACGAGACCCTCGATAGAGTCATTTCGGCTCGACAGGCAAATGATATTCCAGCCAACAATGCATCATCACAATAGTTTTTTTTCGTAGACATTCGTTTTTTTGTCGTGTTTGTACAGTGTAATTGTTCTGGCCACTATTGGTTGGTACAAGCTGTTTCGATTTTTGTTAGCTATGTATTAGATTTTAGAGGAGTTGTGAATGAAAGCTATATGAAAATTGAGTTAAGTGTCTATTTGTTGACTAGCCAAAATCGAGCCTAGTCTATATTTGTAAGCTATTTCACGAGAGTAAATGTTTAACCAGTTATATTGAAATTGAATTCGATAAATAAAATACAACATAATTACATTTTTTTTAAATAATCGACCAATTTTTAGTTGAAATTACAAAAATAATTTAGAGTAATTTTTTTAATAATAAAAGAAAATAAAATATTAAAAACAAAATTTGGTCCATAATTAAATCCAGAAAGACCATTGAAATTTTTTAAATCAAAGAAAACGTTTTAGTTTCCACTTTCCACAATTAAAACCTCACTTCAATTTCTCTACATTTTATTACCTCAGTTAATAATTTCGATATATAAAAGGCGTGAGCACACTACACTCTGCCCTTTTTGTCCACTCCGCTTGCAACTCCTAAAACCCTAAAGCTCAGGAGCTCTCATCCACTCCAATGGCGTCCAACGGTACCAATCCAATGGAGTCACTGTTGGCTATTGCTCCCTCCGTCTCTACACCGTCCACCACCCGCCGCATTCAGATCTTCGGCTGCCAGATTCCCTCCATCCTCAACAGTTCAGGTACCATCGCCGATGCTATTTTAAAACCATTGACTGTTATCGAACGCATACATGCAAGCTGTGCCTGAATTTTTGTTGAATGCTTGCTGCGATGAATTTTATTGCGTAATCTGTTTGGAGGAATTGAAATTCTTCCGCGGCTGGCTGTGTTTGAGTTCTTTTGCTCTTTGCCTGCGGTAGCATTTTCTCCCCCAATAAGTCATCAGAGAAGTTTAGACTCGTCGTTCATGTGTGTAATAGTGTTTTTCTGCGGGTGACCGAATTCTTAATGATACATGTTTGATGGATTGGTCTTCTAGTGTAGTTTTACCCTTCATTGATTTTGAAAACATGTTATTACCTATATTTGAATGTTATCAATAAGTCAAATAACAGAGGCTGGTGTATAATTTATCCAATAAGTGCAGTAAACGGTGGAATTTATAGTTATTCTGTTTATACTCCAGTTTCCGCAATTGCAGAAGTGACAAAAATCATGCTGATTGGTTAGAAAGCCAATCATTTATATCCATCCCCCAAGGCACTACTGCCTCATTCATTTTGAACTCAATTTGAAGTGTAATCAATATGCAACCAATCCATCGTGAACTTCTAGGTTAGTACCAATGAAGAAACCATCTCGTTTGAATCAATGTAGAAGGTAGTAGAAGCAATCCTATTATTGGTCAAAATAATGCTTTATTGGCAGAGAAGTATATGCTTGGGCGGCCTCATTTTTTTTTTCGTTTCCTTTAGGCGGAATTGGAGGAACATTTTTGATTAACTATGCCTTGTGTACCATTTCTTCTATGTTTAAAACTGCTAAACTATGTTTCTTCTTCACTTACACAGACATATAGGATGTCCCATGTCATAATTTATTTATGATATAATTGGCAGGATTCATAGAACAATAGGTTTTGTAATATTTGCAACCGGTAAACTGTGGTTGGGGTTATCAAATATTCCTTCTGAGTTGAGCTCATCTGTGGTAGCACTTGACCTGGAATAATATGAGCTATTCTTTCCAAGGGATGGATTTTTTCTAGCTATTTTTTCTTGAAGGTAAAGCTCATGTAAAACTTAGAGACACCAAATTCACTCAGCTAAATTTGTTCTGCTCTCCTAGTATCTTCATCCTGAAAATTATCAAACTGAGATGAGCAGCTTCAAATTGGATTGGCTCATTGATAGTCCTAAAATGGTACAATGATGCTCTAGAATCCATCATTGATATTTCAAGATATGTCAAATTATGGGAAATGTTCTAAATTAAGCAATTATGTATACCTCAGCTTATGCTTAAATGTCGCTGTAATGGATGATAGAGATATTCTTATTTTTTTGAGGTTGTCCACTGTAAAGCTAGGTGCTCAGAAAGTTTTAGGAATAATGGCGTAGTTTGCAGGAACATACAATCTGATTTAATGACTTACCAAATCTTGCACTGACTACCCCAAGTCATCATTGATTAAGGTTTTGGTGTTCCAAGGATACAATCTGCAATTACTGAAGTTTAATTGTACGTACGTAAACTGCACAAATAGCCAATATCTTGCAGTATGAAGTTGAAAAGGTTATTGCCATCAGACGGCTTTGTTACCAATCCTCCAATTACCATGTTACAAAAATTTTAAAATTGTTTTACCAGAAGGTTAAAATCTATGTAAAAAAAAGGTTAAAATCACGATTTAGTATTCAGTGTTAATGATTTTCTTTGTGCAGTTTCTGTATGTAGATAATATTTTCTTATTTGCTGACATGTGGTTCTTCAGGCTCTTTGCAGATGACTACCGAGTTTGTATCACTGTTGGTCGATCTACTTTTTCAAACGTTATCCATCTATGATGACCGTGGATCAAGGAAAGCTGTGGACGATGTTATTATTAAAGCTTTAACTGAAGCTGCATTTATTAAAAGTTTTGCAGCCACCCTTGTACAGGCCATGGAAAGGCATTCAAGATTCCAATCACTGACAGGAGGTTACAGGCTTCTGAAGTGGTCATGTTTCCTCTTAATTCATAGTCAGTTTGCTTTGTTATCAAAGAATGCACTGTGTAGAGTAGCCCAAGCGCAGGCATCAGTACTTCATAGTGTCATGCAAGAATCATTTCGTATGAGAAGGGCTTGTAGAAAAACACTTTTTCATTTGTTCACTAAGGTCCATGTTTATATTGTGAATAATTTTGTTTGACTTCTTTCTGAAGTTTATTTTTTAATTTCTAGTTGAATATTCTGCATTTTCTGTTCAGTCACCAGATATATACAAAACATACATGGAGGAATTGAAAGACGGAAGGATACCGTATAAAGATAGTCCAGAGTTAATATATCTGATGCTTGATTATTTGAATGTGAATCCCGCTTCATTTGATAGATGGAAGGTAAGCTTTCCTTACCCATCCATATTTTGGTATATAACATTAGGCTGCTAAGATGTCTCCATGTGTGCTTAATGTTTTTTGTTGGTTATACAGGACACATTTCTTGACATATACGTTAAAGCAGTTCTAAATGCTAAGGAGAAGCCCACAGAGGGACTCAGTGGAGCTTTCCTTCCACTATTTAATCGTTTGTCACATGAAGATTTTAAGAGCACTATACTGCCATCAGCTGTCAAGATGTTGAAGCGGAATCCAGAGCTTGTCCTCGAATCAATTGTAGCTCTTCTGAAATCTGTTAACCTTGATATGAGTAAATATGCCATTGAAATTCTTGGAGTGGTATTACCACAAGCTAGACATGCAGATGAAGGAAGACGACTTGCTGCTTTAGTCATAGTTAGGTGCTTGAGCCAAAAGTCCAGCAGTCCTGATGCTGTAGAGGCTATGTTTAGTGCTGTCAAATCTGTAATGGGAGGTTAGTGTTCTGATATTTATGTTCCTTGAATACTATTACTTACTAGTGATAGTAGTGACTTCTCAATCTGCAATTAGGTAGTTCCTAGATATTTGGTTCATGATCTTCTCACCAGTTGACTATGAACAGGTTCGGAAGGCAGACTTACATTTCCATACCAGAGATTTGGCATGATCAACGCATTGAGAGAAATTTCATATGCTCCTGAAGGAAAATATTTCAGCAGCTTGTCACCAACTGTATGTGGATTTCTGTTGTCCTGTTACAAGGAGGATGGTAGGTATTTGACTTGAAATCTACCTATACGTGCATCTATACACATGCACGTGTAAGATGATTTTTTTATTCAAGTTAGTTAGTTATTCTATTTGAGTTTGATTTCTCTATGTAATTGTGCTCCAGAAATGATATTGTGCTCTCCAACAGACAGGGAAAGTACTGATCTGTTTTCCTCCCTAAATTAGATTTGTCCATGTTCAGGAAATGAAGAGGCAAAGCTTGCAATTTTGTCCTGTTTAGCATCTTGGGCTGTAAAATCAGCAGATGCGATTTCCGTGGATCTAGTTACTTTCATTGTCTCTGGGCTCAAAGATAAGGAAACACTGAGAAGGGGTCATCTTCGTTGTCTGCGATTAATATGCAAAAATACTGATGCGGTTATAAGGGTGAGATTAAGTGGGGTTTAATCTGTATTGTTTGTCTTAGCTGTTCCAAATATTCTGTGTTATTTAGCTCAATCTCTATGTGTATGCTAGATGTCATCCTTACTGCTGCCTCTTCTCCAACTAGTCAAAACTGGTTTTACAAAAGCTGCACAGAGATTGGACGGTATTTATGCACTTCTATGTGTGGCTAAAATTGCTGCTGTTGACGTCAAAGCAGGTGCTTACATGATATTTTTCAATATTTGTTGCCTATTCTCCCCTCATGAACATCAAATCCTTTCCATTGTGTTTCTCATATATTTCATTTGCTTTAGATGAAACTGTGACCAAGGAGAAGATTTGGCAGTTGATATTGCAGAATGAACCTACAATTATTCCGATTCCTCTGGTCAGTAATTAGTTTATTGTATTCTCAAGTTAAAAATAAGTAACTTACGGCTAACCAAATTAGGAAAACTGGAGTCTGAAAATGAAACCAAATCAGCTCTTAGCTTTATTTTTCGGACCCTTCTCTAAAACTGTCAAGCTTGTTTTCTTTTGGTTTGCAGACATCCAAATTATCAGTTGAAGACTTGATGGCTTGCGTTGACCTTGTTGAGGCTCTGCTTGTTGATTATCCCCAAAGGTATACTTTTATTCTTTATGTGGCAGTGCTGGACTCCGTTGTTAAATTACAAATCTTATTCGTTTCCGAAATATACAATTTTGTGCCATTTATCCTTCCATTCAAATCCGTATATGATTCTCGCTTTGGTATGGTGTGCAGAAAAACCTTTATTTGTGCATCAATTCATCATATTCTGTGTTTACTCTCGTATAATTTCAGTATAAATGTGCAATTGTGTTCATAATTTGTAGGTGAATAAGTTGGAACTGATGGAAAAGATTTATATATGAGCTGACAAAATTCAAGATCCAAATGTTGAAATTAACTTAATTGTGTTTTGTGCTACAGGCTCTTGGAGAATTTTTCTTCCAAAGCTTTCATGCAGGTAATTATTATGCTAATACATAGTTCATATATTGTAATGATTTAGTTGTTATTCATTGGTTTTCTGTCATGTTTCAGTTTATATTGTTTATGCTCTGTCATCCTAATTGGGACATAAGGAAAGCAGCTCATGGCATTACCAAGAAGATTCTTGTTGCATCTCCTCTAATATCTGAGGCTATTGTACTTGAATTTTCCAGTTACCTCTCTGCAGTAGGAGAAAAAGCAACTCTTCTTAATATGAGGTGGAACTCTATTGTTAATCACTCTTCTTATTTGCCTCATTTTGTTCTCTGTGTTAGTTCACTTTGGCAGATTACTTGATATGTCTGAGCCTTTGGGTAAAAGAATAAAATGTCCAAATCAGCTTTTTATTGTGAAAGACTAAAATTGGTATGCAACTTTCTACCCTGAAAGGTGATTGTGGTTGCCCATATGAATCATGAGCAGCGATATTCATCCATTTTTGTGAATGGTAGTTTAGTTCCTATTATGCAACTTTATGAATAGTAGTTTAGTTCCTATAATTCAACTTTATGAATACTAGTTTAGTTCCTTAATTGTAAAGTTGTGATTTGCATGATTATGTTTTACACTAAGGTGGATCCAGGAGAATATTGGAAGTTTCAGTGTAAGTGTAGATTCTCACATGTTCAGTATTATAAAGGCAAATTTTATACTTAGTGGCAACCTGAAAGTTTAATGGCAAATGCTATATATTCAAGGTTATTTGCAGGCTTGTCTGCTTTAATTTGATGGGCCTTGGATTCACTAGTACTAAGTATTATATTATTAAAGGTCTGTGTATGCTGGCATGTTTTCTGCCTTTTGTGTCTTAGGGTGTTTTTTCAGCCAGTTGACAGTTATGACTTTGCCTGTTACGTCGTTAAAAACAATTGTTCCTTTTAAATTGCTGTGTTATTGATATCTTCTGGTTGTTTCCGGTATGTTAATTCACAATCAATTAACTTCCACTTTACCATATTGACTTGCTTCTCTCTAGCTTTACATATCTTGCTTTAATCATGTTCATTTAACTTATTAACTGAAAATGTTTTTTTTCATACTTTTGGTATTCAGTGATACAGACAATGTGTTAGATTCTCAAGTTCCATTCCTTCCACCAGTTGAGGTTTTGGTGAAGGCATTAGTTGTACTTGCATCTGCCGTTTCAGCTAGCACACCGGATGCTTGTTTGCAGCTCCTGTTTTGCTCACATCACCCGCATATTGTCGGGACTCATAAAAAAGACGCAGTTTGGAGGGTATGTTTTCGCATTTATGAGATTTTCAACAGAAGATTTTTCGTTGGTCTTACTTGTCCCGGACACTGAAATGTTCTTCTGCAACAATTAGTATTCAACCTATTTTAGTATCGAATATTTTTGGCATTAAGAGATGCTTGACTTCCCTTGTTAGGGGGTAAAAATTTACATCTTAAGACATTGAAATACAAATGGGTTTCTCATTGCTTTGGGATTCAACTAGTAGAGTGTATTTAAGTTTGTTAATTCACAGGGTCAATATTTTTTCCCGCATTTATGATGTATGCGTCATCATTTACTCTATCATTGTGCTCATGGTCTTTCCTTTTTTCTCCAGAGGGTGCGAAAATGTTTGCAGAAGTTGGGCTTTGATGTGATTGGTCTTGTTACTGCTAATGTTGCCAAGTTATGCGAGGTAATTGCTTCTGAAATTGGAACTATTAGTTTTTCCTGAGAGAATGTTTCATTTTTTTCTCACTTGAAATGTAATAACTTTTGCCTTGTCACTTTTCACAGTCATAATTTGCAGCTTCGAATATGCTTTCAAATAATTTAGTGTTGTGGGATTAGTAGTAGTCTATTAGATCCTCTCATAATTTGCAGCTTCTGCTAATATACCTTTTATTTTGTCATTATCCTTGCATCTTCTTTTCTGGTTTGTTCGCTTACCTCTTTTTTTTAGCCTCAGTAATTCAATGAAGTTAAAATTTGTCTACTAATTTGGTTGATGAATAAATTAAAGAATTTGAAAGAACTGGAGATTTTGTTAGTATGGAAACCTCCATTATGGACTTTTTATTAATAATAAGATAACGCGGAGATACAAATATTTACTTTTCAGTGAACTCATAGAAAACTTCCATTATTGTCTTATTTTTGGTAAAGGAAGGCATAGACATGGATGTTTTCTTGTGAGAATCGCAGCAAATATGTTATATCTTTTGTAAAGTTGTGTTATGTTCATGAAGGGCTTATTAGGTTCCAAGGGATTGATGAATCCTAATTACCTGGAACAAGAAGCGGCTATAAATTCCTTGTCAACTATGATGTCTATTATGCCAGGAGATACGTACGCACAGTTTGAAAAGGTTTGGAACAACTGTTCCTCTCTAGTAGTTTCATGAACATGGTTTAATTTGTTTGTGTGGCTCTTACTGTGTAATTACTTCTGCAGCACTTCATCAACCTTCCAGATCGTATGGCGCATGACAAACTCTCAGAAACTGATATTCAGGTCAATCTATGACTTACCACTTCATTAGTTTAATTACAAAAAGTTCAAATTTAGTGTTTTATTGATTTTGTTTGTATTAGACTATCATCACACAGTAGAAATCATCTTTGTGTCTTCTGGTTGTCGGTTTTTTTTTTATTCCTTTAATCTTAACCAAAACAATGGGTATCTGTGCTGTTGTTGTTTTTTTCCTTTTGCATGGTCATGGCTATTTTAATGTTCATAAAATTGCGTCAGCACTAGTCGGGTTGGATGCAAGTGATGAGAGTAGTCTCGCTTTATACGTGCTTTGATTTGGAGAGCTCATGTCTGTAGTTTCTGCATTGTTTTGCTCAAAAAATTAGTAACATAGGTTAGTGCTAAATTTTGATCTTGAAGTAGGTTTTGGTAATGGCTTCGTGTCACCCGGAGGGGAATTAGGGAACTTGTAACTATCCTCCTCCTCTAAGGAAAAAAAGAACAAAACTCATAATATGCTGGTTGTGTCTCTTCTGTTTTATAATCAGACAAAGATAGGACATTACATTTGATGCTTTACAGTTTACACCTACAGCACTCGGTGGCTCATATCAGATTTCTCTAGCAAGTTTCATGCATAGACTTAAGAGCCAGGTATAATCTCATCAAGGAAACAACAAAATGGCCTGCAAATCTTTTTGGTGATAGAGTATTATTGATTTAACCATTAAACATCCTAGAGGAGTTTTATGCATGATAGAGGAAATACATCTTTACTTTTCTAGCTCTCATTGCAATGCTACTCATTGTTTCATGTTGTCAGTATGTTTGAATGCTTTGAATGGTTGCACAGACGGTTTAGTGTTTCTGTTGTTGGGCATTCATGCAGTAACCAGTTGTCTCTGGGCACTGATTATGTTTGATTTATTTTTTTATGTGCTGAAGTATCCCAAATTAGCTTATTTCTGCAAAGTCTGGTGTTTTTGCATTGCATTATTTTCGTGGTAATGCTAGTTCTGTGACTTTAAGGCATGCCTGATAGTGAATGAAATCGTTATGTACAGATTTTTCGTACTCCTGAAGGAATGCTTTCAACTGAGCAAGGTGTTTATATTGCGGAGTCTGTTAAGCCCAAGAATGTGAGGCAAGCAAAAGGGCGTTTTCGACTTTATGATAACGATGATGACATGGTAATATGATGGAACCTTGTCACTGAGAAATATAAGAATGTTTATGTTGTGTTTTCATAACTTAGACATGCATGGATTCAGGATCAGGTTAGCTCTAATCACTCAGTTGTCAGCTCAAATCATTCTACAAGGCGTGATGTAACCAATAAAGAGGTTGCTGGTGCTGGGAAAAAAGATGCCGCAAAATCAATAAAGAAAACTGGCAAGTTACTCATGTTCTACTTATTTGAGATTCACTTGCTCCTGAATTGAATTTATATGTAACTGTCTTTATTTCTTTTAATATTTCTAGAGAAGACAAAAACAGCAAAAGAAGAAGCTCGTGAAGTACAGCTTAGAGAAGAGGGTCACATTCGTGAGAAGGTCATGTCAATTCAGCAGAATGTTTCATTGATGCTCAAAGGTTTGGGAGAAATGGCTTTAGCTAATCCCGTATTTACACATAGCCAACTTCCTTCTTCGGTAAGTACTTGTTCTTGTATGTTTTTTCATTTTTATTGGCATGTTTTTTCGATAGATACTTATACTAGCTCTAGCTGAACTGATAGTTACACTGTCAATGATATCGTTTATCTGAAGTATTTAGCTTCTTTTGTTTCAGTAGTGGGCATGATTATGAAAGATTTTCCGATTAATTTTCTTTCAACACCTCTTAAAATAATTTATAGGGAGTAAATGATACTCTTCTTCTGTCAGCAATTTTTTTCTGACTCCTTTCTGCCATGATACTCCAACAACTTTTGGATACATGTGGGTATGCATGCAACATAATGTCCCATCTTAACTCAAACACAAAGTCGTTAGTGGCCAACTAGGATCTTCTGTTTAACATTTTCTACATAAATTTATCATCATAGTTTGTTAATATGCATAAATTCACCAAGTCTGGCAGCAGCTTTAAGAATTTATAACTGCTTTTGTGACAAACTATTTTCTATTATTATCTCCTATTTTAGGTTAAGTTCGTCAATCCTTTACTTGGTTCGCCAATCGTTGGTGATGCTGCGTTCGAGACGTTGGTGAAACTTTCAAAATGTACTGTCGACCCTCTTTGCAATTGGGCTCTTGAGATTGCAACTGCTTTACGACTGATTGCCATAGAAGAAACTAGTGTCTTGTGGGAGTTATTTCCATCTGTAGGCGAAGGGGAAGCCAATGGAGGACCATCTTTGGGTCTTTTTGAACGTTTGCTCAGTGGCCTAACCATTTCTTGCAAATCTGGACCTCTTCCTGTTGATTCATTTACATTTATTTTTCCGGTAAATTATTCCAATCTTTCTTTATTTTTAACTCTTATGTTCATGATTTTCAATAGGTTCTATAGTCTTTCAATTTTTTGCGCAGGTAATTGAGAGGATACTGCTTTCTCCTAAGAAGACAGGTCTTCATGATGATATTCTCCAGATACTTTTCTTGCACATGGATCCTATTTTACCTCTCCCAAGGATTCAAATGCTATCAGTTACGACCTTGATTTTAGTCGCACATTTTACTGCATGCTTGTCAGTCAATTTTGTGGTTCTTATGTTACATGTCTTATACTTTGCAGGTTTTGTACTATGTTCTAGGTGTAGTTCCTGCATACAAAAGATCTATTGGCCCAACATTGAATGAGTTGTGTCTGGGTCTACGACCCGATGAAGTAGCACCTGTATGGCTTCACTTGTTTTTAATTCACTTGACAATCTATCTCTCTATGACCTTTATGCTCATATTTATTTCACTTTCTTTTTGGACAGGCTTTATCAGGCGTTTATGCTAAAGACATTCATGTTAGAATAGCTTGCTTAAGTGCTGTAAAGTGCATTCCTGCTGTCTCCAATTGTTCGATTCCTCAAGATGTTGAGATTGCGACACGCATATGGCTTGCTTTGCATGACCCAGAAAAGGTGTTGATTTTTATTTCTCATCATATTTTAATGGATCTATACTTCAATTTATGCTCATCTGTTATATCTCGTAGACACGATATATTATGGACTATGTGGCATTTGTCGGGAAGAGTTACTATTCAATCAAGCCAGAGTGTTTATTTTGTGGTTCTGGAACTGTGTTGTCGTTTAGATTTCTACTGCTTCCCAGTAGCTCACATTTGATAGAGAGTGATTAACATGTTGAGGGCAGTGGCTTGATTCCTCTTCCTTTTATTGATTGGTTTTGTAGTATGAGATGTGTAAGAGTATCTGCTCTATCATGGATTGGATACAATAATCTTCCTTTTGTCTTATGTATGTTTGTGCTATGTGTGATGATTACCGAGACAACAATTGTTCCATGACTCTTTTCTAATACCTGGAAATAGAAAAAAAAGGAGACAGGGTAAACTTAAAATGGTCTCTTACTTGGATCAACTCAAATTCATAGTGGAACACGTTGAGGATCTTGGATGATCCTCAATTTCAAACGAAATATCATTTGTATCATTTTGCTAGAAGTTTTGAGGCATTACCCATCACTAAGACAAATGAACAAAGTTAATGTTGCTGAATTTCTTTTGTTATTTGTTCAAAGATTAAAGACACCTAATAGTAAGGTCTCAATTTGTACTTCTTCGGTTCAGTCAGTTGTGGAAGTGGCTGAGGATGTATGGGATTGTTACCGTTATGACTTTGGTACCGATTACTCTGGGCTTTTTAAAGCACTGTCGCATGTTAACTATAATGTTCGAGTTGCTGCAGCAGAGGCACTCGCAGCTGCTTTGGATGAAAATCCTGATACAATACAGGTAAAATACTAATTCAACTTTCTAACGTATGATAAAAATGACAATTTGGTTTTCACATATTCTGACGGTGATAATGCAGGAATCTCTGTCGACTTTGTTTTCTTTATACCTCCGAGATGTTGGATTTGGTGAGGAGAACATTGATGCTGGTTGGATTGGTAGACAAGGAATTGCTTTGGCTTTACTTTGCGTGTCAGATGTTCTTCGAACCAAAGATCTTCCTGTTGTGATGACATTTTTGATATCACGAGCTTTGGTAATATGACTTAATTGGAATGTTATTGTGCTATATGGAATTCCACTTATGTGGTCTAATAAAATTTTGATTAAATTTTGTTCTCTGCTATCTGACTAAACTTGGTCTGTGAACCTTTTGACTCTAGGCTGATCCCAATGCGGATGTTCGAGGACGAATGGTTGATGCTGGTATTATGATTATTGACAAGCATGGAAGAGATAATGTTTCTTTGCTATTTCCAATATTCGAGAATTTCTTGAACAAAAAGGTCATTGGACTTCCTAATCATTCATGCTTGCCTATCATCTATTTCTTTTCTCTTGCTAAAGATTTTTAATTTTTGAAACTGTCTAGATATTTTATTTCTCATTTGATTTTAAACGTTCGTATTTGTGCTATTATATAATTTTTCTCAGGCCCTTCGGAGTCGTGAAATCAACTTGATGAAATTTAGTTTGATTTCTGGTTGTTATCTATGAAATTCTTTTGCAGGCATCAGATGAGGAAAAATACGATTTGGTACGTGAAGGTGTGGTTGTCTTCACAGGAGCATTGGCAAAGCATTTATCAAAGGTCTTAGCCTTTCCTTATAGAAGCTGTCTCAGAATAAACTAGATGTACCCCTAATATTTTCCTTGGATTTGTCTCGTATATCAGGATGACCCAAAAGTTCATACTGTTGTGGAGAAGTTGTTGGAAGTGTTGAACACTCCTTCTGAAGCTGTACAACGAGCAGTTTCCACCTGCCTTTCCCCGTTAATGCAATCAAAGGAGGTACACTGCTATATCAGCCTAAGTCTCTGGCTAGACTAATTGTTGCTATTTTTATGAACTATGACCCTTTCCACACTATGTTGTGCATTATTAAATATTTATATTGGAATGTGAAACTTTTTGGGCCGATTTTGAAAAATAAGACCCCGAAAAAAATGAGTTGTGCCCATATATATTATTAGATTGAATACTTCTAGCTCGGTTTCTGTAGTTGGCTCTTATGAGATTTATCTGAAATTTGTGTTCTCTATTCACCTATTGTGTTTCTGTCACTGATTTTATCTCTCTCGTCCTTTGGTTTATTTACCCTTTCTTGAGTAATTTAAACTTATGGTGTAATATGTAACCAGGAAGAAGCAGCAGCTCTGATTTCCAGACTGCTTGGTCAGCTGATGAAGAATGACAAATACGGTGAGCGTCGCGGAGCAGCATTTGGACTAGCTGGAGTGGTTAAAGGATTTAGAATATCGTCTTTGAAGAAGTATAATGTTATGATAACCTTGCGTGATGGTCTTTCAGACAGGTCTGTCCTTACGAGAAATTTTCATGTCAATTTTTATCTTGTTCAGCAGTAGAATATCTTTATCCCAATATCGGTTGTGATATTATCAAATCTGAAGTTGTGAAGTTTCTATTTGCTGGTGTTTCTAACTATATATCTTTTGGAGGCCGATATTACTTCAAAAATTTCAACTTTTGATCTTTTATGTTCTTTTTTGCTTAACATGTGGCTTTGCATGAGTTGCCATTCTAATCATCGGATTTATAAACCACACCCATGATGAAAAACAACGTAGACTTGATAATTTTTCATACTTTGTGTGGATGGTCTATAAAGGAAATGTTCTCATTTACGTAAATCTTATTATACTCGTTTGTTTTAGAACTTTTCCTGTTTTATCTGTTAGTAATACCCATTTTTTAAGGACCATGCGTTCTAACAATTTCAATGTATTCAATATTCAAGTTTATATTGCTAAAATTTTCTAAAGAATTCCAATATCAAAAATATTTTATTTAATGTGAATTAGTTACAGGGACCTCCTGTAAGGTTTGTCCAACACACAGTTACCTTACTGGGACCTCCTGTAATGAAAACCTCCACCAGAGTTTCTTGATATACAAGGATACCTCTTACAAATATATCCAATTACAGACTTTCATAGCAGATGATAGTTGGGTTTTTGTTTTTCCTCTTCTTTTTACATAAATGCAGAGACATGCGCAGATCATTCTGGTTTCGGTGCTCCTTTATCATCTTTGATAATTCTTTTCGTATTGATGATGGAACTTATTCACCTTAGCGGGATTTGTGAATCAGTGAAAATTTACTAGCTAGTTATTTGTATTACAGAAGTTCTGCCAAAAGCCGAGAAGGAGCTTTGCTGGCATTTGAGTGTTTCTGCGAAAAGCTGGGAAGATTATTTGAACCGTAAGTGTATAGAGATTATCATGTGAAAGACCTAATCCTGATAGAATGTGACAGGAACTCCCCTCACCCATTTTTTTATTTTCAGATATGTGATCCAACTGTTGCCCCTTCTCCTGGTTTCCTTCTCCGATCCAGTCGCTGCTGTTCGAGACGCCGCTGAAGGTGCATCTCGTGCAATGATGTCTCAACTTAGTGCTCATGGGGTCAAACTTGTTCTTCCATCCCTCTTAAAGGTCTTAATCTTTGGATACTGATCTCTTTAATGAATTTGATATTACTAAATCAGAAACTGCTTGAGATTGGTTTTCTGCCGTTTGTTTATAGAATCCCGACTCACATAGGTCAAAATAGAGAATTTGCTTGGTCATATGGAATACGGATTTACAAGTGTAACTGAACTGTTAGCTACCTAAATCCATCTGTTTTCAGTTGACTTGCTAAGGAAAAATTCTTGAAACTTGACCCTCGTTATCTGTCTTTTTCGACCTTCAAAATGATAGTATCTTGCAACTTAAGTTGTTTTGATAAAACTGAGGTATATGTTGGCTCTATCCCTCGTGTTTACGTACATCTCAGGGCCTTGACGATAAAGCTTGGAGAACAAAGCAAAGCAGTGTACAGCTACTAGGTGCCATGGCTTTCTGTGCTCCACAGCAACTGTCTCAATGTCTTCCCAAGATTGTTCCAAAGTTGACTGAGGTTTGTGCTGTAACAACAAATTTCTGCACTTTTTCTTAGTCTTTTTCTTTGATACTAGTACATTTGAAAGTTTATGGGCTAATATCTTTTACCTGTTTTCTTGATTGTACCACAGGTCCTTACGGATACTCACCCTAAAGTTCAGTCAGCTGCGCAAACAGCCCTTCAGCAGGTAAAATGAATATTATTGAAGTTTAAATTACTGCATCTGTATTTAGCATTTTTTTTATGACTGTTCCCTTCAATTAGGTTGGAAGTGTGATTAAAAATCCAGAAATATCTGCTCTTGTCCCTACACTTTTGATGGGTCTCACAGATCCCAATGATTATACAAAGTATTCTCTTGATATTCTTCTCCAGGTAAAACATTAACTGTATTCATATTTTCATGGTTGTATGTATTGCATTTAAGTTAGGTGTTTTTAATGGCTTCTTACTATTGCAGACAACATTCATAAATACTGTAGATGCTCCTTCTCTTGCACTTTTGGTTCCCATAGTCCACAGAGGTCTTAGAGAAAGAAGTGCTGAGACAAAGAAGAAAGCTGCACAAATAGCAGGAAACATGTGTTCATTAGTTACAGAACCAAAGGATATGATTCCTTACATAGGTTTGCTTCTCCCTGAAGTGAAAAAGGTACCCTTTTATCAATGACTACAGTAGACGGCAGTTAAGAAGGTTGATTTTAGATTAAAATCTTATTATTTTCTTACATAATAGGTCTTGGTAGATCCAATTCCTGAAGTTAGATCAGTTGCTGCGAGAGCGCTTGGTTCTCTTATAAGAGGAATGGGGGAAGAGAACTTCCCAGACCTTGTCCAATGGTTATTGGATGCTCTGAAGTCGGATGGTAGTAATGTTGAGCGGTCTGGAGCTGCTCAAGGGCTGAGTGAGGTATGAATATTCTGGGTGAATCTTCTTGCATTCATTTTCTCTTTCCTATTCTCAATTTGAAGCTTTAAACAGAAATTTCCTCACACCCTTTGAACATGGGTATTTAGGGGTTTCTGTCACTGTTGTGGGTCTACATCTCTAATCACTGGTTTTTGTTACTATTTAGGCACAGATAAATTTTGCCAATACTCACTAGTAATTTTTTTTAGCTGATATAATATGTTCTCAATTAATATTAGACTTCAATAGCAAATCTCTGCAAGTGTATGACTCAGATTTTAGAGTTGCAATATGGGCAACTGTTTCCTTGTTTTGATGTTTTTGGTTGTGACTGGCGTTATAGACCTGTAAACACAAATGGAAATGGTTTTTGATTTCGATATTGGAAATCTACGTTGGCAAATGGATTTTAACTGTTTCGGGAACACAAAATGAACTATGCTTTGCCTTCATCCTCTAGGTATTGGCTGCACTTGGAACAGAATATTTTGAGGACCTTCTACCTGACATTATTCGGAACTGCTCCAATCCGAAGGCTTCAGTTCGAGATGGTTACTTGTCCCTTTTTAAGGTGAATATGGTTAAATAGTATATGAGTTTATTGATTTTTGCATTCGAGTTGCATAATTTGATGAAATTTTGCCTTTATGCTTCATTCATGCAGTATCTGCCGAGGTCTTTAGGTGTTCAGTTCCAGAAGTATTTGCAACAAGTTTTGCCTTCTATTTTAGATGGTAGGTCCCACTGGCAGTCAATTCTTCTCACACAGCTTGCCATGTGATATTTACTTGAATTATTTAGTAATGTTGTGCATTCTTTTCCTCCAGGTCTTGCTGATGAGAATGAGTCTGTACGAGATGCGGCACTCAGTGCTGGTCATGTCCTGGTTGAGCATTATGCAACTACGTATGTGCTTATGAACATTATGCTTCCCCTTTCATCATGTTGACGTAGTTTGAGGTTAAATGGATGGCCTGCATTCATACTATTCACTTGAAATATTTAACTTGAAGAATCAATAAATGAGAGAATTGAAAATGAAGCTTACATAATACATACAATTATAAGAAAATTTTAAGAGTTCTACTAACAGCAATCGATAACCGATTTCTGCTATCAATCCAGACATTATGAGATAAATTTGTCACATATTTGCTTACAATCTTATATATATATATATATATATATATATATATATATATATATATATATATATATATATATATATATATATATATATATATATATATATATGATTGTATAGATGTCTCCTGAATGATTTAGGATGAAATAGGCTTGAGAAGTACGCTGTAGTGATTAATGAATAGTGTTGTTAGCCAGACAATAGATTCTTACAACTGTATATTTAGCCAGACAATATGATTCTTACAACAGAAAGAGAAGAAACTTAACAATAACTTTTTTTAGCTAGTTGACTGTATTCTTACTGGTTTAGCTGCCCTTTTAGTTACAAGTTCTGATAGACTGCTTTTGTAATGGCCTTTGCTTTTGATCTTGTCAGATCTCTGCCGCTGCTCCTTCCTGCTGTGGAAGATGGTATATTCAATGATAATTGGCGTATTCGGCAAAGCTCTGTGGAATTATTAGGCGACCTTTTGTTCAAGGTGCAAACTTTGCTTGCTTTCTGATCACTTTCTCCCATAAAAGCGACTGGATATCTTATCATCCATCTTATGTAGGTTGCTGGAACATCTGGAAAAGCACTTTTGGAAGGCGGAAGTGATGATGAAGGTTCTAGTACCGAAGCGCATGGCCGAGCTATTATTGAAGTACTTGGAAGAGATAAACGTAATGAAATTCTTGCTGCCTTATACATGGTTCGTACTGATGTCAGCCTAGTCGTTCGCCAGGTAAAGTGATGCCAAATAATTTGTGACTTCAGCTATTGGTTATGCTTTCTTCTATTCTGTATTGGAATTTTAATATTGAAACTCCGTGACCTATTCAGGCAGCATTGCATGTATGGAAGACTATAGTTGCTAACACTCCGAAAACTCTGAAGGAAATAATGCCAGTGTTGATGAACACATTAATCACTTCTCTGGCTTCATCATCTTCGGAGAGGCGACAGGTATCCATCACTGCATTCTAATGAGATTATTAAAGAAATGAAGTATTGTGAACACGTTATTGACATCCAAATTGTTTTGCTATTGTATTCAGGTTGCTGGACGGTCATTGGGTGAGCTTGTTAGGAAGCTTGGTGAAAGAGTGCTTCCTCTAATTATTCCTATTTTGTCGAAGGGTCTTCGTGACTCAAACCCAAGCCGAAGACAAGTGAGTCTTTCTTCCCTTTCCTTGATTCCTGTTAACTATATTTTGCTGTTCTTGTTTAATTTCTACTATAGGTATTAAGAAGCAAGCAACTTTTGTAACAAGTAGTAATAATAAATTGATTGTTGTGAATTTGTGATATATTGTTAGTAGTTGCATTTGTTGCACATCGCCAATTGGTATGGCTCTAACAATGTTGAAATGTGGAATATGCACCCTCTCTCCTTCAACCTAAACCCATTTAACATAGTTTAAGAACAGGTTTGCGGCGATGGTGGGTTTAGTAGTTGCATTTGTCCCCAATTTGTTGGGCTCTTAGATTGTTAATGTGGAATGGGCGCCCTTTCTCCTTGAGGTTTTTTGGAGATGAGCCTAACCCATTTAACATTTGTTATTCTGACTTTGTTTAGCTTGTTTTTGTTTTGTTTTTCTATTTTGTGTTTCTTCTTTAACAACTTAGCCGAATCATGCAGGGTGTCTGCACTGGTCTGAGTGAGGTGATGGCTACAGCTGGTAAAAGTCAGTTGCTGACTTTCATGGATGAGCTGATTCCAACAATCCGAACAGCTCTTTGTGATAGGTATGAGATTTTTGGTTATTATCATACACAATGTGGCACATATGTTATTGATGACCTTTTGAATGCTACTTTTACAGCACGCCCGAGGTCCGTGAGTCTGCAGGCTTAGCATTCAGTACCCTTTACAAGGTATGCCTGTCAAGGTACTTCGAAAAATGATGTCCTCCCCAAATATATAAAAATCTTAAATCGAGGTTCCTTTTGTCTTGTGGTAATATAGAGTGCTGGACTGCAAGCAATTGATGAAATTGTTCCTACGCTGCTTCAAGCTTTGGAAGATGAACAGACTTCTGATAATGCTCTTGATGGCCTCAAGCAAATCTTGAGGTATGTTTTTACGTCTTTCTATATGGTCTATATAACACATTTTTTTAGCTGTTGTATTAAACCATCCTTGTTGATTACAGTGTCAGGACTACTGCTGTGCTACCTCATATCCTCCCTAAGCTTGTCCAACTTCCATTGTCGTACGTACAAAATTTGCATATTGCTTTGAACCTTTCATTTAGATAGAATCTGTCTTTTACCAACATATTTTGGTTTGCCTACAGCGCCCTCAACGCACATGCTTTGGGAGCTCTAGCGGAGGTTGCAGGATCTGGTCTTGATTTCCACCTTGGTACAATACTTCCTGCTTTACTGGCTACGATGGGTGGTGGTGCTGAGGTATGTGGGACTACACACACACCCTCTCTCTGCGCCCGCGCGCGAACACACACACACACACACACACACACACACACATAATATATATATCCAGGGCAGCTTCTGCTTCTAGGTTCAATCAATAAAAATCAACTCAAAATTCTAAAATTGGCATTTTATCCCAAGAGTTGAATTCACGAATAATTGTAAACTTGGCTAACAATCCTACTTCAGCTCAACGTATAACGTAAGGTAGATGTTGAAATCATCCAGTTGTCTGAACTGAAACTTATCTTTCAAATATATAATTTGGAACTTTCAGGAATATAGTCAACCAACTTCGATCTCCTACAACATCTCAAGCATTGGTCTATTTTTCATTTATGATGTTTTTCTTTAGTTCCATCTGTTCTCTATACTTTTTGCTCTGTTTCTTCTATTTCTCGAGCATGTCTTGCTCAGTTGTAGGAATCATCTTAGCGCCCATTCAAGCTGATTATGCCGCTAAGGTTACCGGAATTAGTATTGCCACAATGATTGATCTTCCATAGCCTCATTCACACACCATACACACACAGCACATTACGACACAGAAAAGACCTTAGTAGAACAGTATCACAGTTCATGCATTTATTGTTATTACCCACTTTGGTCTAATGATATCATTTATATCCTTGTTTATTTTTTGTGAAATCATAGGATGCTCAACAATTATCAAAGAAGGCTGCAGAAACGGTTGTCTTGGTGATTGATGAGGAAGGCATTGAATCTTTGATATCAGAGCTTCTAAAAGGCATCGCTGATAGTCAGGCAGGATTTATATTTACTTGACCTGTGATATTATCAAGCTCACCCCTGGTCCAGCATAATGAGTATTTAGCTAAGATAAAGAAACTCTAATTCAATGCTTATTCATTCACAGGCTTCAATAAGAAGAAGTTCTTCGTACCTGATTGGCTATTTCTTCCAAAATAGCAAATTGTATCTGGTTGATGAAGCCCCAAACATGATATCTACGTTGATTATTTTGCTTAGCGACTCGGATTCTGCTACAGTTGCGGTAAATTAAAAAGAAGCGGGGATCTTGTTTTCTATATAAGTTTGAGTTTTCACCTTATGTTGTTTTCCACAGGTTGCTTGGGAAGCATTGTTGAGGGTTGTAAGTTCGGTGCCTAAAGAGATTCTACCTTCATATATGAAGCTTGTCCGGGATGCAGTGTCAACATCTAGGGACAAAGAACGCAGAAAGAAAAAGGTAAGTTATGACAGTTTGTTTGGGTGATTTACAAAGTTAGACCCTTCTTAAATTTTTTCTAATCACCCAAAATACCAGTTAACTTTCTGAAGTGAAAAAACTTGAGGGTTTTGTTTTCTATTTTTTCCCACTAAGACTTGAACTCCCACTTCACACAGAAGAAGCCGATACTGTTAGACTGATGCATTGAGGTTTAATAAACCCCCCTTCTATTTTTTAAATTTGCAAATAAAAAAATGTCGAGGGGTATTTGTAATTTACAGTCATGATTTTTTTTCCTCGGTAAATAAATCAAATCTCAACGAAATATTCTGCAACTTAGATCGTTATATTTATACTGTTGAAGACTAGTTCTTTATAGTGAAGTTGTGACCATTTATTCAATCATTTCAGGGAGGACCAGTTCTGATTCCAGGATTCTGTCTCCCAAAAGCTCTCCAACCTATACTGCCTATCTTTCTCCAGGTACTTCTTTGAACCTCGCGGAAACTGAAAACTTACTAATTTTTTGTAGTGGCAAACTGTGAATTCATTTTCATTATCGTACAAGTGTTCTTATGGATTTTGCTTATAAACGTTCTCTTATTAGGCTTTTTAGTTGAGCTGATATCAATATTACATTTTTCAGGGTCTTATAAACGGATCAGCTGAACTAAGGGAACAAGCAGCTTTGGGGCTTGGAGAATTGATTGAAGTGACAAGCGAGAAAGCCCTTAGAGAATTTGTTATTCCTATTACAGGGTATGACATATTATTTGAAGACGTGTTTAATTTACATATGTGCTTAGCTGCTTCACTAGATGAAATTTTATTAATTAGATGGACTTTTATATACACTTTCATTTGGTCTTCCTGGAAAATGATCACTATGATTAACAGACTGACACACACACACACACACACACACACACACACACACACACACACACACACACACACACACACATACATGTATATATTGGAATTAGTTGTGTTATCAAACCATGGATTTCCGTGGAAACCGAACATGCGTTATTTTTCAAATATATGTTACAAATCCCTTCCCTTTTTTTTTGAAAAAGATAAAAAAAATAGCCTTATAAAAGGAATTAACTTTAATAATTATCTGCTGATTTTCTTTTTGTACGAACAAATATTCTATTACAATATATAACGCGTATATTACTGCACAAATTTTATCATCTTTTCTTTTCAAAATCGTCATCTTCCTAACTGAATGTGCCTCTTTTGAACCTTTGAGTTATTTAATGTATGTTGAAGGCTGATGTTAATCATATATATATTGGTTTCTTTAGCCCGCTGATCCGGATCATAGGTGACCGGTTTCCTTGGCAAGTAAAGAGTGCTATCCTGTCAACTTTGAGCATCATAATACAGAAGGGTGGGATGGCCCTGAAGCCTTTTCTTCCCCAACTTCAAACAACTTTCGTCAAGTGCCTACAAGATAATACAAGGTTAGCACTTTATGAATTGTTTAAACTAGGAAGACAACCCCATTTTTTAAAGTTAATTTCATGCGCAGCGGTATGCACACTTTTAATGCATAAATAAATCACCTAATGGAATTCTTCTGCAGGACTGTTCGATCAAGTGCTGCCTTTGCTCTCGGGAAGCTTAGTGCTCTCAGTACTAGGATTGATCCTTTAGTTGGTGATCTTTTATCTGGTCTGCAGGTAATAATAGTAATAGTAATAGTAATAATATTAATAATAGTTAATAATAATAGTAACAGTAATGATAATAATAATAATAGTAATATTACTTATAGTTCTAATAATAATAGTAAGAATACTAATAATAATAATAACAATAATACTAATGATACTACTACAATTTTTCCCGTACATTGAGCTTATCTCTGAATAACCCAGCTCATTATTGCTTACCAGGCATCAGATGTTGCGATTCAGGAGGCAATATTGACAGCTTTGGAAGGTGTGATAAAAAATGCCGGAAAAAGTATAAGCAGTGTTGTTATAACTCGTGTCTACACACAGCTAAAGGATATGATATATAGTGAAGATGATCAAATACGAAGTTCTGCAGCTAGCATCTTGGGATTTTCGTTACAGGTGAATGGAGTAATTTTTGAGATGTTATTATTACTATAATACAAGTATTTTCTTTATTTTTTTTTCTATTATTTTGCATACGAAGTCTAATCAAGTGAATGGTTACATCCATATGAAGTCTACTATTTTTCAAATTCTCCAGAATGAACCTATTCTAGGAACTCTGATCGTCGTAACAATAATATTTAATTATCATTTGAAGTCCGTGGAAAATGGTTTTCTTGGTGTTGATGATCAACGATCAATTATGTAACAGTACTTGGAAAGCGCTCAAGTTTCTGAAGTACTAGTTGAAGTAGCAGATTCAACCTCCTCTTCTACTTGGACCACAAGACATGGGTCTACTCTTGCCATATCATACATGCTAAGACATAATGCTGCCATAGTTTGTGCGGCACCATCGTTTACAAGCATCGTTGATTCTCTGAAAAAATCTTTGAAGGATGAGAAGGTATGCCTTATTTCATAATTTGGATTTTCAAATGAGATTTCAGAACAAATTTAGGTTACCAACATTATCCTCGAAATGTACATAACTATTCCTTATTTCAAAAGAGTCTTGCAATAAAATTATTGTATTGGGCCAAAGATGGCTTGTAAGCTTGGAGATGAAGTTGTTCTGCATCGTTTTACTTTTTTGTGGAAATAAGGTTTAAAACACATAATCTTATTTCGTTTACATGTAAATTGAGATGAAGTTGCATGGGGTTATTTTTGTGGAAATATGTATTCCTTTGGATGTGCCTTGGTTCTAATACTGTTTTTATATGCAGTTCCCTGTTCGTGAATCATCAGCTCGAGCTTTTGGAAGACTTTTACTATATCAAGTCCGAAACGATCCTTCGAACACCTCAGCACATGTTGCAATTTTGAACTATGTGGTACTGGGAATGCAGGATGACTCAAGTGAAGTCAGAAGAAGGGCCTTGAGTGCTTTGAAGGCAGTTTCCAAAGTACGAATTTTGCACGACCATCAATAAAATACCTTCGCATTATGCATTTCTGTTCAATTTTGTTTAATAAAACTAACCAATTCTTTTTATTTTTTATTTTTAATGTAGGCTAATCCACAAGGGATCTTAATTCATATTTCATTATTTGGACCTGCGCTTGCTGAATGCTTAAAGGATTCATCTACACCTGTTAGGCTTGCTGCAGAAAGATGTACCCTGCACAGCTTCCAATTGTCAAAGGGTATATACTTCGTGCTTCGTATTGTCCTGAAATGTACTCTCATCACTCGATTATTATAATTTGTCGAATCCGCTGTGACAATAAATTTCCTACATATCTTCCAGGCACAGAATATGTTCAGGCTGCACAAAAATACATCACCGGCTTGGATGCTCGAAGAATAGCAAAGTTCCCAGAACACAGGTGAGGAACCTTGTTCATTTAAGTTCGTCGTGTAACTAATCTTGCATGGTTATCTTTAATTGCTTTATATATAACTAAATTATGTGCAAGTTTACTAAAAGATAAACTGTTCCGTTTTAGGTTTATCGTTGTTGTACATTACTTAAATCTGAAACTATTGAGCTACTCATCTAATGTGCATGATGTGCTCTAATAACTCTCTCTATTGGAACAGTGATGACAGTGAAGACGGTGAAGACGGTGAAGATAGGACAATTGGCTGATTAAAATTTATCGATAGTGTCTTAATGCCAAATGGTTGTGGGCCAGTGCCAAAATCTGTGAATCCTTTTTTTTGTTGTTAAGAGGAAAATATACACAATAAATAGTCGAAGATACGCACCACACCACACCACACTGCACGACTACAATTCTTGTTCGGAGCAGTTATTTCTGTTATCGTAAATTGCCGGTGCAATTTCTAGCAGCCAATTTCCATATTTTACCAGAACTCAGAGTGAGCTCTTGTTTGTTTCTATATAATGTTTTGTAGGGCGATGAATTTTCTTCTGGGTAATGCCAAAATTGTAGTGCTTCTGGACTCTTACGTATCGTTTATTGAAGTTCAGAATTTACGTGTTTTTTTCTTTCGTCCCCTCTTTCTATTTTTGCTCGACTTTAGTGTCTTTTGGGCTTGCTTTTCCTTCTCCCGTGCAAGTTAAAGAGAATTGAAAGCTTGATACTGTAACTCAAGAATGCAGATGAAAGTTTTGCGTGTGAAACTAAGAATTTATTCACTTCACCAATGCTCTACATATTTTATAAAACAAGTATGAATGCATGGTCATACACATTAAATTTTAAATTTCTTTACTACTGTATATGTATATATAATTATTACCATTGTATTGTGTTCTTATTTGCCTTTGTATTAAGCTATTTTTTGTTTAAATTTTTTAATGCATATTTGGCCTATCAATGATGAAATCCTGGCTCGTATTACAGTAGAAAATAGTATTTATAAAGGTAAAATGCAGTTTACCCGGAATTATATGATATGTAACACTTACCTCTGCACTTAAAAAAATGGGGTATCACTTACCCCCTTTATTTAAAAATAAACACTAAGACGATTAAAACCTTGATTTAAACTCGATTTTACTAATTATGTGACTGAATAAATTTAGATTGAGTTGGAGTAAATTAAGTTTGAAAAAGAATTGCCCGTTATTGAAACTGAAATATATTATTAAAAGGGAAATTCAAATTAAAATTAATAAAAGAGAAATTATATTATAGAACATTAAAAGTGATGGTAGTGCACATTAAACCGTGTGAGTCAACATTCCCAGACTTCCAGGCTCGGAGAGTTAAAGAAGCTGACACCTCCCTAATTATTTATTTTTGGCGAGATTCGAGAATTAAATAGATTCTCAATTTTTTTTAATTAATTATTAATTGATGTCTAATTATATTAATTAATTAATTTGTAGAAGCATTAAATATTGTGAACTAAGATGGGAAGCCCACATGGAGATGATCGCATTGTAGATTGGACCAAGGAATTTTTCTCACAACAAAACAGAATAGAAGACTCTCCCACGTACGCAACTCTTTATTTTATTTTATTTTCAAAATTGTGTCTTTTTCTCCAATAATTAATTATTTTCTTTATGTTAAAAAATTAATTTTACTTAGAGAGAACAAAGAAAAATAATAAATGAGGCTAACAAAATGAATAATGAAGTAAAAAAAATGTTGTTTGAGACTAGGGGTGATTCCACTCCCAATTGAAAAATATTGCACTATATTATATCTAAATATTTATTTAGTCCCACCCAATTTTTATTATTTAGTCCATTCAAAATTCAAATTAATTCAAAAAAAGTCATAAAACTTTTTCTTTTCTTATTTTATTTTTCCCGGACCCCCGAAAAATCAAATCCAATGTAACAAAATCATAAACTCACCACTCTTAGCACAATAATCGTTTTCATTAATATTTTAATTCGTATGATAATAAATCAGAACAAATTTATTTATTTGTTCCTCTATTTCAATTGGTGGCTGCGGTATGATTTGACAATAAAGTTCCATACAAAAGAACAAAAAGAGATTACACTTTGCAAGCTTAACTGAAGTTGTCATTAAAATAATCTCTTGCCTTGATTTTTTTCTGATTTATATATATTTGAAATATTATTTAAATAAATTCAGTAGCAGTAGATTGCAAGACGTAATTTAATCAGCCCCACAAACTTTAACGTGAATTCAAGGTAAAGATAAAGTAAATAATTCATGACTAAATATTATTTATATACACAACGCATGCATGTAATTTATTACAATTACAGAATTTAATGATAAATAAAGTTAGGTGGGATTGACAGGTCATAAAATTAATGTTAACCATGGTTAAATTAAATTAAGTTGCAATAACAAGAATTAATAGAAGTATATTAGGGTTTTGTAGCTAGGAGAATTAATGTGGAGAAGGAGTGTGTGGTGGAAGAAGCAAGATATATAGATACAGGTAGATATATATATATACACAAGTGGGGGTGGTGGGTGCAATTAATTAGCAGGGGGAGGGTAGGTCTGTGTAATTTATAGTCCTCTGATTATGCTTTTTCCCCCCTCTTCTTTCTTTTCTTCCTCATTTAATTTTGTGTGTTTTTTTGGAGAGAGATAAACAAATTGAATAGTATCTTTTATATATATATAATTGCCTCATATATATACATATATATATATATATGCAGATTTGTATGTATGTATATGTGCAGGGAGGCAATGATGATTTTGATGGTGAATAATAATAATAATTTTGTGTGCAGGCAGCTCTCAGCTTAATTGCACTGCACCCACTTCCGGGCCTTCCTTTAATTCCCCAGCACCACCGAGAGAGAGAGAGAGAGAGAGAGAGAGAGAGAGAGAGAGAGAGAGAGAGAGAGAGAGAGAGAGAGAGAGAGAGAGAGAGAGAGAGAGAGAGAGAGAGAGAGAGAGAGGGGTCGTTTTCGAAGATAGGTTTTATTGGTGCTGGGGCTGTTTTGGGTGGGGGTTATTAAGAGGTGTTGTCTGCTTCTTTTTCCACCCACTAGTGGTGATACCCCTCCACTGTGTGTTTTATTTTCTTGGTAGCACTGAATGAAATGGCAATGAAGAACCCCTTCTATTCCTCATCATCATAAATATTATTTCATCTTCCGCCATTAATATTAAAATTAATATTAATATTGTGTTGCGCCCAAGAATCAGTTTCCTCCTTAAACGACAACGACAACACGTATCTTGAATTCAGACCAGCAGCTGCTGGTTGTTAGCGCTTAAGATTACCCAGGATTCAGAAGCATCTAGACAACATCGACTAGCCCCCTCTCTTCACTATTCGGGTATGTATCTATATATATGCATGTGTTTGTGTGTGTATATATACGTGTTTATAATTTAGTTAAATGATTGATATTCTTAATTGGGGGCGAGCCCAGA